CCCAAGAGCAGGGGTCCCCTTCCCCTCCCTGGGAAGTGGCCTAATTTGGCTCCCTAGACCTGTTTGGGTTTCTAATTGATCTGCCACTTGGGACTGGGTCTCCCCCACCTCTGCCCTTTATTTTCTGCATTGATTCTCTGAGATCTGTTTGCCTTCCCTGAGATTTCATGACTGGACCTGAAATCAGAGCTGCAAAACACACCATCCAGTGGCTGTAATGAAACTGGTTTAAATCTCTGTTTAAAAGGCTTATTTATAGTATGTTCCCATGTTCTGTTTTGTGTGCCAAAGCTTTTACCAGCAGCAACAAGCCATTGGAGAAATAAGTATCAAGTGCAAATCAAGATAGCCCAGCCACAGTCCCCATTCACAATCACTGGGCAGGAGAGATAAATCCAAAAAGTGGAAAGCCTCCCGTCTAATTAGGAGACATGGCTTTATCCGTGCTCTCCCTCAGTGTGCTGCTGTCTTCCTTTCTATCTTCTCTGTAGCAAGGAAGACAGCCAGAGGAGGGGGAGGGTGGTGTTGAAGAAGCACATGGAGTTAACTGTTTGCAGTCTAGGCCACTGGTTGTAGAAATGGGCCTGTATCAGAATCTCCAGTAGGTCTGGGCTGGGCCTGAGAAGTTGTGCTTCTGACGTGGGACCAGGTGGTTCTGATGCTGTTAGCCTGGGGACCACACTTGGAGAACTACTGCTTTGGAGACTGTGATGGTGAGGACTCTGTGGTCCTGGCTGGACTTGAGCAGAGGCAGGGGCTGAGAGCACAGGTGACAGCCAAGGCCTTTTGGCAAAGGCTCCATCTCTTCTGGTGTCGTCCACCTCCTGCTGTCATGGATCCATCTTCTTGGGTGGGGAGAGGGTGGTGGAGGGAGCTGAGGCAGCCGAGCAGGTGCACTTCCAACAAGTTCCAAGGTGATGCTGGTTGGTGCTTCTTGGCAAAGGGAATGAAAAGGTTTCTGTGTTCTCATGACTGAGGCAGACAGGCCCTGGGCAGGCCACTTTAGCTCAGAGACCGTTGTTCCATCTGAAAAAAAATGCAGAAACCTGTTTTTATTGATGTCTTTTTCAATGGCTGTGAGAAACAGATGGAAGCAAATGAGAAAAGGTAGGTAAATAGGCTCACAGGTCTCACTAAATGTAGGTTCTCTTTGCCAGTGACAGGGGTGCAGAGCAGGGGGCAGGCAGCATGGACTTAGATGGTAAACTTATTTGGCTCCAGACTAAAACTCCTGAGTGACTTAAGCTTTTTGAGTTAAGGCTTGGCAGGAAAGGCACCAACTGACACACAGCATTTATTCATTGTGAATATCATTGGATGCTATTATTTAGGTTCAACTGTTTCAATAACAACGGAGCAAAGAGAACCTACATTTAGTGAGACCTATGAGCCTATTTACCTACCTTTTCTCATTTGCTTCCATCTGTTTCTCACAGCCATTGAAAAAGACATCAATAAAAACAGGTTTCTGCATTTTTTTTTCAGATGGAACAACGGTCTCTGAACTAAAGTGGCCTGCCCAGTGTCAAACAGGTCTTTGTTTTGTAATCTGGTCGGTTACAAGAAGGATTGGGAAGATAAACTGGGTGTAGCCAAAGGGGAAGGGGGTGGTAGGGGAGGAAGGCAAGGCTGGGGAAATCCTACAGCCCTGGAGCTGAAAGGGGTCCTATAGCTCATCCTAATCTGCCTTACAGGTGAGCAAATGGATCCAGGGAGGGGCAGGAACTTGCTGATTTGGTTGCTGTGGGTACTGCCCTGTTCCACCCTCCCTTTTAGAACAGAAGCGCTCTTTCCCCAGAGGTGGTGAGCGAAGGGGGCTGGCGGCCAACAGTGCATAGCTGAGTCCCTCTGCAGGTGTGGCCCTTGGCTGAAGAGAGCCACTGTGTCTAAGGCCACACACCTAGGGGGGGTGGGGTGGAGGGGTGGGGGTTCCTGCATCCAATAGGTGCTCGATGCAGAGACATGAGAGGCCCCTTAGCACAAGTCAGGACATTTCAGAGTTTTCATGGGATTGTGGCTGCCTCGCACATCCACTTCCTCCTCTGCCTGTTCTTGTTTTCTCCACTTTCCCAAATGTGTTGATCCCCACATCCCCCATAAACCTCCTGCCCACCAAGCCCTGTCCGAATCTGCTTCCCTGGGAACATGGCCTGTACCACTTCCTCAGACCACAGGCTGCTTCAGTGAAGGGGTCAGGACCGGAACCCGTGCCCTCTGACTCTCAGCCTTTCTACACACCTGGCTGACGTCCCACCCTGAAACCTCTCAGGCTCTCTCTCCATCACATCCTTCCAGGAACTTGGGACAAGTGACCTCAGAGAATGGGTCAAAACCTGCTAGGAGAAGCAATGCCCCACCCCCAACACACACACACACACACACACACACACACACACACCATGGGCCACCCTTGCATAGTCCCAATGGCATGCCTGTGTCAAGCAATCAGTTTCCTGTTGCTGACAGGGAGGAAGTGCCACGTGCCCTCCAGGCCTCCCCCAGTGCTTGCCCCAGGACTGTACCGTCAAAAGAAAAAAATGGAAGACAACCTTTATAAATGTATCTATGCATACATTTATGAAGGTGCTTCAGAAAGTTCATGGAAAAATGAAATTGAAAGATAAATTTATTTTTGGTGAAAAAAATTTAAATCCATGCATAGTCTTTTTCACAATGTGTATTTTCCATGAATTTTTCCAAGATTCTTCATATATGTGTTTGCATTCACATGTATGTATATGTGCATACATGTATATTTGATTTTCCAAATAAAAAGTTTCAGTTTATACAATATGTTGTAACCTCTTGTTTCCTTAATTCCCTCACAGGCATTTTTGCACATCATTAAATATTCATCTGGAAGGTTAATATCCAGAATATATGAGAAATAACTCAAGCTGGCGCCGCGGCTCACTAGGCTAATCCTCTGCCTTGCGGCGCCGGCACCCGGGGTTCTAGTCCCGGTCGGGGTGCCGGATTCTGTCCCGGTTGCCCCTCTTCCAGGCCAGCTCTCTGCTGTGGCCAGGGAGTGCAGTGGAGGATGGCCCAAGTGCTTGGGCCCTGCACCCCATGGGAGACCAGGATAAGTACCTGGCTCCTGCCATCGGATCAGCGCGGTGCGCCAGCCGCGGCGGCCATTGGAGGGTGAACCAACAGCAAAAGGAAGACCTTTCTCTCTCTCTCTCTCACTGTCCACTCTGCCTGTCAAAAAATGAAAAAAAAAAAAGGAAAGGAAACCCTTACATGCTGTTGATGTGAATGTAAATTAGCACAGCCATTATGGAAAACAGTATGGAAGTTTCTCAAGAAAGGAAAACTAGAGCTACCTTATGATCCAGTAATCACACTACTGGCTATATATCCAAAGGAAATTAAATCAATTTGTCAAAGGGATGTCTGTACTCCCACGTTTATTATGACACTATTCACCAAAACCAAGACTTGGAATCAACCAAACTTCCCAACAACAGATGAATGAATACAATGTGGTATACAACAGAGCACTATGCAGTCATAAATGACAATGAAATTATGTCATTTGTGATATAGACAAACCTGGATGACATAATAAAAACAGTCAAACACAGAAAGCCAAACACTATATGACCTCATGTCATATGTTTTGGAATCTAAAAAAAACATGGATTGGGGCTGGCTCTGTGGTGTGGTGGGTAAAGCCACCCCCTGTGGTGACAGCATCCCATTTCAGCGCCAGTTCGAGCCCTGGCTGCTCCATTTCCATCCAGCTCCCTGCTAATGGTCTGGGAAAGCAGTGGAAGATGGTCCAAGTGCTTGTGCCCCTTCAGCTGCGTGGGTGACAGAGGGTAAGCTCCTGGCTCCTGGCTTCAGATCAGCCCAGTTCTGGCTGCTATTATCATTTGGGGAGTGAACCAGTGGATGAAAGATTTCTCTTTCTCTCTCTCTCAAATAAATAATTAAAAATAAAAATTAAAAAACAAGGGTTTCCCAAACGTAGAGATTAGAACAGTGGTTACCAAAGGCTGGAGATGGGGGGCGGGGCGGAGGATGGTGAGGAGGTGGTCCACTGGTACCGAGTTATAGTCATATAGGAGGAAAAAATTCTGGGGCTCCATTGCACAGGTGACTATAACTTAATAAGGTATTGTATATGAAGGTACTTCAGAAAGTTTGTAGGAAATGGAATCAAAGGCAAGTTTATTTTGGTGTAAAACAATTTTGAAATCCATGCATCCAAGAGTCTTCAGAAAATTCATGAAAATTGCATATTATGAAAAACTATGCAGTTTTTGCACCAAAATAAACCTACCTTTTAGTTGCATTTTCCAAAAACTATTTTGGAGTATTCTCATGTTTCAAAACACCTAGAAGTTTTTTAAACGCTCTCACCAAAAGCAAATGGTAAACACATGAGGCGGTGGAATATGCTAAAGATCCTGATTTGATCATTATACACTGCATACATGCATGCAAATTTCACATTGTATCCCACAAACATGTACAATTATAGATTGTTAAAGAAGCAAATAAGTATTCATCTAACAACATGGGTTGAAGAAGTGCATAGTGTTTCCTTTTGGGGATACTCCATAACTTAACCAATTTCCTATTTGGCAGTAGAGTATTCAAGTGAATCTATCCTTTATAAATAGCCTCCCTGCAGGCTTGCAAGGAGTTGTAGGTACTTTGCCCATTGTATTCTAGAAAGTTCTGGATGCTTCTGGATACATTTGTGGCCACGTAACCAGACCGCTTTCCCATTGCAGAAGCCTGGTATCTTCTCAGATAGCAAAAACTGTAGTCCTCAGAACTTGAAAGACTTGTCTTATCCTGCCCGTTAGTCATGCAGCCTAAGCGGGACTCGGTTCCAGAAATCCCATACACCCTCTCCCTCCTCTGGCCTCATTCCTGCCCCTCCCCACGCGCCCGCCGCACCCCCCCCCCCACGCTTTCCCGCTCGGCGGCCTGGCCTATGGCAAACGCCAAGAATTAATTAGGGGCGGGGATCAAGGAGCGGCTGTCAGGAGGTCGCCATATTTCTGTACGGCCCTGGGGCGGCCCCGGCAGTGCTCGGGTCGGGAGAGGTGCTGACAGGGCGGGGCCGCCGCTCGCCGCCGCCGGCCTCACCCCTCCCGCCGGGGACAGGTGGCTGGAGCGCGCCCCGCCTCCGCCAGCTGCGGGTGGGAGCGAGGGAGGGCCAGTCCCGGACGGCCACCGCCTGCTGCGAGCGGGAGTGAGCGAGGGCTGGTCCGGGACGGCCGGGCGAGGAGTCCGCCGGCAGCAAGCGAGTATCGTGGCGGCCAAAAAAATGCTCCTGTACCGAGGGGCCCCCGCGGGCCCTGGCGCTCCTGGCGGCGGGCTGACTCGGCCGGGTAGCGGCCCGCAGGCCTTCGGGATCCGCCTGAGCACGGTAGGTCGGGGGCCCGAGGGGGCGGACGCGCGCGCGCGCGGGCCCCGGGGCTGCGGGGGGCGCGCGGGGAGGGCCCGGCGGGCCGAGGCCTCACGCGGGACGGGACCTTCTCTCGCCCCCAGATGAGCCCCCGCTACCTACAGAGCAACTCCAGCAGCCACACGCGACCCTTCAGTGCCATCGCGGAGCTGCTAGGTGAGTGGCGAGGGCGAGTGCGGCCGCAGTGACTGGAGGCAGCGGTGCCAGCGTGGTGCTGCGGACGCGAGAGGAATTCGCGGAGCCGAGCGGGGTGGGCCGGCATCGGGGTGGGGGCCTCGGGACCCGCCCCAGCTCCGCAGACGCAGGAGGAGCGCAGCTCTCGCCGGGGACGAGGTTCCGCGACGAAAACCGAGGAAACAAGGTGTACCTGAAGAGTTAGGACTCCCGGGTGGATTTTCTCTCTGGCTCGTGATGTTCCGGGCACTTTAGGATACCTTAGTTAATAATCAAAAGGAGATGCATTAAAAAAATCGGATCCTGAGGCCGCTGGGCTCCACAAGGGCTGGCGACTGACGCCAGACGCTAAGCTAGCAAAGGGACATTGTAGAGGACCGGGTAGGGTCGCGGGGGAGGATCTGCAGAGCCGAGTGCTTTAACTTTTGAGACAAGAAAGTCGAGGAATGATGGGACATCTCTGAAGAGATGACACGAGTGCATTTGGCTCCCTGCAACTGCAAAGGGCCGGCTCCACGGTCCACGAGCGCCCTCACACCGCTGGAATGAATACTGAGGACTTCACCTCTTACTCCCTCCGTGTTTGCTTTTAAAGCGTTTTCACTTGACCCCTTGAAGCCAAGTACAGCAGCTTTTGCAGCAGCATGATAAATACTGTAAGGAAAGCAAAGGAGAAAACAGCCCTGCACGAAATGCAGCAGCATGCAGAGCTCCTTATAAACGCTTCAAAAATTGACCAAAGTGTGTGTGTGTGTGTGTGTGTGTGTGTCGGGGAGGGAGGGTATAATGCGGCAAGGTAGAACAGAACAAAATCTTGAAAATGACTTTACAGTCCCCGAATGAATCCCAGGCGCTACTTAAGCAGTCACTGTGACCATGTCATCCGAGTTATTTTGCTTAAGAAGTTGGTGGGCAGCAGGAGGAGATATAGTTAGGAGAGTTGTTTGGAAGGTGATGGAGAACTTTGATGATTCATTTGACTATATCACCAAATGCTTTATGGTAGGTATGCCTTCATTAGAAAGGAAAGGGGGAAAAATGACACCGATAGTTTTTTTTTTTTAATTTTTAAAGATGTATTTATTTGAAAGTCAGAAATACACAGAGAAGGAGAGGCACGGGGTGGGGGGCTGGTTCACTCCCCAGCTGACTGGGACTGCCAGAGCTGCGCCGATCCGTCCCGAGGGCAGGGGCCCAAGGACTGTTTTCCCAGGCCTTATCAGAGAGCTGGATCGGAAGTGGAGCAGCCTGGATGTGAACCAGCGCCCATCTGGGATGCCTGCACTGCAGGCACAGCCTAACCCACTATGCCACAATGCCGGCCCCCAACAATAGGTTTTGAATCCAAGAGAACAGGGACCATGCCTGCAGTGAAACTCTGCAGAATGAAGTAAAATCTATGTGCGTGTAACTTAGGAAAAGAGAGAGAAGTAACAACCTACTGGGAAATAGGGGACAGAAATGTGTCGTTCCTTCACAGTTACACCTTGCCAAACTGTATGTACCTGTGCTGTGCTGTGCATGTAGCATTTTACAGGTAATTTAAGGAGTTTTGAGTTTATAATTTTGAATATGCATGATTTTTGTCTTAAGAACTAATAAAGATCCTAGGCCTACCGTAAAATGCCCAGTATGAGTTTTGAGTCTATATGTATATTCTACACATACACACATGCATGCAAACTTATATACAAAATTTTTTAAAGATTTTATTTATTTATTTGAAAGGCAGAGTCACAGAGAAACAGAGGCAGAGAGAGAGAGAGAGAGAGAGAGAGAGAGGTCCTCCATCTGCTGGTCCACTCCCTAGATGGCCACAACGGCTGGAGCTGTGCCAATCCGAAGCCTGGAGCCAGGAGCTTCCTCCAGGTCTCCTACATGGGTGCAGGGCCCCAAGGACATGAGCCATCTTCCACTGCTTTCCCAGGCCATTAGCAGAGAGCTGAATTGGAAGTGGAGCAGCTAGGACTTGAACTGGTGCCCATATGGGATGCTGGCACTGCAGATGGCGGCTTCACCTGCCATGCCACAGCGCCGGCCCCACAAACATAAATTTTAAAACCAAATCACGACTATGTGTGATAATAGAGGAATGGCAGAGCAAAGCATTGACTGGTGATCCAAAGCTTTCATTTTGTATTTTCCTTCAACATTTTTGCATTAATTTTCTAGTGCATTATTCATTTGGTAAATATTTATTGAGCATCCACTGTATGCAAGGCCAAGGTAGTAGGTACAAAAATGAATACAACATAGATCAACTGTTATAGTAGGGGAGATAAAACATGTACAGAGGTTTATGTATAACAACAAAATAGAAAGTGGTATATCAGCAAAGATGTATACACAAGCGTTGCGGGAGTTCAGGAGAAGGAGGAGTGACTTCCAGTTTACCAGGAAGAGGAGGGTGAGGAAATGCTTTGTGGAGAAGGTGACATGTGAGCTGAGATTTGAGGGATTGGGACATGTGGGTACAGGGTGGGGGGCATTCCAGGCACAAGGAACAACTGCATGAACATAGGCACGAAGCGTACTGAGTTTAATTAGAGCATGGATTTCACAAATAGAAAGGGAAAACTACAGGTCCTTGGAGAGTTTACAAAGAGCGTTTACAAGTACCTTTGCAACTTTACCCTTTGAAGTAAATAATATTTTTTGTACCCTATAGATGAGGAAACAGAGGATAAGAGAATTTAACTGACTTTTCCAGGGCTACACGTGTGGTAAGTGGCAGATCTAGGATTCCCATAGAGGCCTTTTTACTCCACGTAGCAAGTAGGAAATGAGATTAGAAAGGTGACCTGGGACCAGGATGTGACTAGGACCCTCTGGCATTTGGCCGCCTTATTCTGAAGTTTTCTCAGCAGGGGAATGTCATGATCAGAACTCTGCTTCAGGAAAATGAACCTTGCAGCAGTGGATAAGATGAACTGGAGAAGAAAGTGATGTGGTTTGGAAAGACTAGGTAGGAGATGTGATTGCAGTAACCCAGATGAGCGGGAACAAACCCTGTAAACTAAGAGAATGCCAAAGGGATAGTAAAAGCAAGATGTTGAAAGAGCCTAGGGATGTGTATTGCAAGGGAGAGGGAAGGATTAAAAAGAAAAAAGACTTTTACATTTCACACTTGTCATTTGAATGTTGACTCGTGTGTGTGTGTGTGTGTGTGTGTGTATGTGTATGTGAGAGAGAGGAAAAACAATAGGTTTGGGACAGAAAGTTATAACCTTACATTTAGGTAAGAATACTTTTAGATACATGCAAGATGTCTGTAGGGCAACAGCTCTGCTCTGGTGACCTCAAATATACCCACATAGGCCAATTCTGTTGGAACAGCAGAGGATCGGGGGCCTTGTGATCCTGCGAGAGCAGAAGAGGATGGTGAGCTTGCGAAGCACTGCCTCAAAGCCATCTGCCACTCACCTTCCACTGTTCCTGAGAGGCTGTCTTGGAGTAGTATCTCATTGCCTTTTGGGCTCTGGTGAGGTATGAGGCTTCAGTTACAGTGATGTTTAGACAACAAGGGATGGGGATCTAGCTTACCTTTTAACTTGGTCTACCTCTTCAGCCAGCGTGGGGTAGGCCAAGATAGAGGGTGAAATAGATTTCCCAGGAATCCCATGCTATTGTCCAAGTGGTGAGCCACAGGACTAGAGAGAGGGTGTTCTCACTAAGGGATAGCATGGTCCACGTTTGGACAGATAAAACACCCTGGGATCTGGTAATACATGAGATTAGACATCCTTATTAGGGAATGAAGACATCCCCAGGATCTAGTAGTGCAGCTCTCACCTAAGTAAGTGGTGGGCGAGAGGAGTAAGGCTTCTTGGGCAGGGTGAGGTGGGCCAGGGGCAAGCTAGATTTCCTGGGGTTTGGTAGCACATGCTACATGTTGGTAAATTTTTGGAGAGTTAAGCAGCAAGAAGTAGGATTAGAACTAGCCACCAGACTGGTGCCTTATTATTATAAGTTCATTTGCTGTGGCCAACCTTGTTATTATAATTTCATTTGTTGAGGCCAAGTGAAAGACCATATAAAATCACAAGTAAGTATAAAGTGGTGTTCGCTGGTGCCTGCCAAGCACCATTCTCACCACTTCTCTCTGCTTCCCCAGCTGATCTCCCTCTGCTTCTCCAGCTGACTCTGGCCTCTGTATGTCCCCTCCCTCCAGTACTCCATGAGCTTCTAGCCAAGGAGATGAAATATCTAGCTGCTCCTGGCACCTATCTTGTAACTCTTGAAGTGCCTGTGTTAAATCTCTTTGGTGTATTCCTATAAAAAGAAGTATCAGAATTTGGAAAAAACTTGCAGTAAAGAGGAAAAGAGTTAAAGTGATTTTTTTAAAAAAAGATTTATTTTTATTTATTTGAAAGAGTTACAGAGAGAAGTAGAGACCGAAAGAGAGGTCTTCCATCCACTACTTCACTCCCCAGATGGCTGCAACAGCTGGAGTTGTACCAATCCGAAGCCAGGAGCCAAGAGCTTCTTCCAGGTCTCCCACGTGGGTGCAGGGGCCCAAGGACTTGAGCCATCTTCTAGTGCTTTCCCAGGCCATAATAGAGAGCTGGATTGGAAGAGGAGCAGCTGGGTCTCGAACCAGCGTCCATATAGAATGCCAGCATTCCTGGCCAGGGATTTAACCCACTGTGCCACAGAGCTGGCCCCCTAAAGTGCTTTTTCGAGAGAACTGCAAGCTTATTTTTTTTTAAAGATTTATGTATTTATTTGAAAGTCAGAGTTACACAGAGAGAAGGAGAGCCAGAGAGAGAGAGGGGGAGAGAGACAGAGAGAGAGAGAAAGAGAGAGAGAGGTCTTCCATCCGCTGATTCACTCCCCAACTGGCCACAATGGCTGGAGCTGCATCGATCCAAAGCCAGGAGCCAGGAACTTCTTCTGGGTCTCCCACGTGGTGCAGGGGCCCAAAGGCTTGGGCCATCTTCCACTGCTTTTCCAGGCCATAGCAGAGAGCTGGATTGGAAGAGGAGCAACCGAGACTCAAACTGGCACCCAAATGGGATGCTGGCACTGCAGGCAGCAGCTTTACCTGCTACGCCACAGCGCCAGCCCCACAAGCTTATTTTTTTGAATGTACTGTTGTATAGATGTGTGATTGGAATTGATATGTGTTTGAATTGTGTATGTTCAAAAGTGTTAGAAAGAAGTCTTCTGTGTTCAAAGTTATCAATGTATAAATGATGTCCAGTTGATGGACAAATTGTATCTGTCTCGAAGGTCTTGGCTCTCTCCCAGTAGAAATGACTGCTAAGTCCCAACACAATTCAGGTTCTGCTTGCCAAGTGAAGTTTCTTGAAACAATGTGCATAGCTATAAAATGCTGAATCCTTCTATTAGTTAAATGGGAAAATAGCGCTGCCTCTTACAAAGTAAAGCAGTATATTTCTGATGAAGCTGCCATTGTGGGGCATAGACTTATAACTCCAAAAGTTAGCCTACTTGTCTTACTACAGTACCTGGGGCTTAGGCCTCACCTGGGCCTTAAGTATTGACCATACAAGACTTCTTAGCCTTCTCCTGAGGCTGTTGGTGTTGCCTTGCTGCTGCTGAGACTTTTTTAGGTTACAGTCAGTGACAGTTACATCAGTGACTTTGGTAATACCATTGTGGCCCTTAAAAGTAATGTCTTGTTTCATTTGATGGCATTCCATACATCCATGTGATATAACCAATATTGTCAGTTGTATTGCAAAAATAGATGTTTTGAAAATGTATAATACTTCTCTCTTTTTAAAAAATGTATTTATTTATTAGAGGGGCAGAGAGAGAGAGAATCTTCCATCCACTGGTTCACTCCCCAGATGGCTGCAACAGCCGGAGTCAGGAGTCAGGAGCTTCTTCCCGGTCTCCCACATGAGTGCAGGGGCCCAAGTGCTTGGGCCATCTTCTACTGCTTTCCCAGCCCACAATAGAGAGCTGGATCAGAAGTGGAGCAGCCAGGACTTAAACTGGTGCCCATATGGGATGCCAGCACTGCAGGTAGCGGCCTTACCCACTATGCCACAGTGCCAGCCCTAGTACTTCTCTTGATTGTAAGGGATATTCCCAGTGGGAAAATGCCATGATTTTATCAGTGGTAATGGTTGGCTGTACAATCAGGATCCCACCTTGCTCTCTCATTCCAGCAATGTAGTATCAGTAATGCAATATAGGATACCATGGAAAGAGGGGGTAGAAGCTAAGATCTCTTTCTTGCTTAAAGAGCTAGTAGAGACATTTTGTTTGTTCCTTGTGTGTTGCTGTAACCAGTCTGGTGCCTTATAAGTAAAAAAATTTATTTGACTGGAAAGTCCAAACAACATGGCACCAGCATGCTGGTAAGGACTTCCTGTTTGCATCACAAGAAAGCTAAGAAGCAGAAAGCGAATTAGCCACTTGCCGAAGGGGCCAAGCACATTGGGGTGGCACCCTATTGTAACAGCTGGCTCTCTCTACTAATCTAGCATATTAATCTTCTCCTGCCAGACCTAGACCTAGGCTGCTCATGTAGGAGAGCACTAATCCATTCATGAGGGTGGAGCCCCCATGACTTAATTTACCTTCTGGTAGGTCCCACCTCGTAAGACTTCTACTACCTCAGCACTGCCACACTGAGCACCAGGCTTTTGGTACATAAATCTTTGAGGGACAAACCACATCTAAACCACAGTGATATCCAGAACATTACACAGATTGCCTTTCTACTTGGGCCAGTGAACCCTTGAGAGACTTTTAAGTCACATGTGTCAGTGCCCCACAGTCACTGGTGACTGTGGCAAAAGAAGTGAGCGCTAGACAATGGCACCCTTTGAGGTTGCAGACATGGCACATATGTTAGGAAAGACTTGGGAGTCTTTTTAAAAAATATATGATTTATTCATTTATTCGCTTGTAAGGCAGAGTGACAAAGACAGAGAGGTAGATCTTCCACCACTGGTTCACTCCTCAAACAGCCACAACAGCTGGGGCTAGGCCTGACCAGGAACACCATCTCAGAACCAGGAATACCATCTGGGTCTTCCACGAGGGTGCAGGGACCCAAGTACCTGAGCCATCATCTGCTGCTTTCTCAGGTGCATTAGCAGGGAGCTGGATTGGAAGCCAAGCAGCTGGGACTCAAACCAGAAACCAGTGCTCTGATATGGGATCCCTGCATCACAAGTGGCAGTTCAACCTGCTGTACTACAATGCCAGTCCCAACTTTGGAGTCTTAAATACTTAACCTATTGTGAAGATGCGACTCAGGACAAATCATGAAACTGTTCATATTTTTTTTAACTTTAATTCTATGTTCTCCATTTCATGCGGGGTAGGCATCTTCACTTTTAACATTATTACATGATACTTAAGCAGGATTACTCCTTTGTAAGCATGCTTGCTACCATCACTGGGATTTAGGTAGGCAACTAAATGTTTTGATTTTTAACCTGTGACTCTTTCAGTGTCCCTTGGGCTATAAACAGGGATGTTGATGATATCTGTGCTCTTCAACAGAGGAGGTGATGCAAAACAACAGAAAATTAACATTCTTAAAAATAAAATGTTATGTGTGTAACATGAATCTATTTTCACCAAAATTACTGTTTCAGCCTCTCTCTGTAGCTGTCCTTTACTGTATGTGTTCACAAGTAATGAAGTGACGTAACAGACAAAAAGTTACAAAACCAAAACCAAATCAGAGCAAAATGCCTTGTGTATAGGACTGGTGACTTTTCCCATAGACTGTGAAAGGAGAAAGGCAGGCTGCTGGTCATATGAAATTTAGAAATCCGCTTCGTAACTCCATATGCCATCATGTGTGTTGTTCTGCATCACTCAGTAAGTGTGCCCCACTCACCATCACCGTTCGTGTGCCCCACTCACCATCTGGGACATCCACATGAAGTGCCCATGAAGGGCCTAAAGAGCAGTTTTCATGTCTTTGGACACTGAACTAGAGATTTTGGTCGAATTTTGGAAAGTGAGATCTAATATCACAGATTTCTACCTTTTGCAGATAATGCTGTAGATCCAGATGTATCCGCCAGGACGGTGTTTATAGATGTTGAGGAGGTCAAGAATAAATCTTGTTTGACCTTTACTGATGATGGATGTGGTATGACACCTCATAAACTACACCGAATGCTGAGGTAAAAAGTGTTTTCGTTCTCTTGTCTTGTTTTGAGTTTATGAAATCTGTTGAAGACTTCCTGTTGTTCTTCAAGATTGACCATCCCCTTTATTCATTCAACAAATATTTATTAAGTGTCTCTTCTGTGCCAGGGCACTGGTTTTGATACAGACACTGTTCCTGTCCTCACAGAACTTACAAGTCTAGCTGACAATTCAGACAGTTAAACAAGCAATCATAATACAATGTGATAATCATAATGATAAGAAAGCACAGGATGTGTGGGATGAGTCAGCAGGGAATCCAATCTGAACACATAGGTTAGTCAGAAGCCTCCTGGATGGAATGTTATTTAGGCAGAAACCGAAGGGTGAGTAGAATTGAAGGAAATAAAGGTGCACTCAACAAGGGAGGAGAGTTCTTGTGAAGAGGACAACAAATATGAAGGCCTGGAAACCTTCATTTGTCTGAGATCTCCACTTTATATCAATGTAAACTCATTATTAAATCAGACAACCCTGTCTGCCACTGGAGTTGGGGCAATTTGTGGATTAGAAGCATGAAGATGCTTGGGTATAATCAAGCCCCGTGAAAGACAGAGAGAAGGCGTTGACACACACAGTCTCTGAAGGTTTTACAGTTAAATTGCAAGGTTAGGAAATTGTTTTTTCTAACTTTTAAAGCTGCTGATAGATTTCTGTTGCCACTCTCAGTGCTCTTAATGACTTTCAAAGGTCTGTAGTCCATAATGTAAGTTTGTACTGTATCATCTTCACATATCACTCAGTGAGACAAGAATGTCACTGGCATGTTGGTGAAGTTAGAGAAATGGCCCTTTTCCATAACTTAACCGCATCAGTTTTTATCTCCTGAAGTTAATAGTAAATATTAAGGAAAATCTATTTTAGATGAAATGGGATCAAAACATATATGTGTCTAATTCTGTATGTACTAGCTGGCCACCCTAAAATCACTTGTCTTCTCAATGACTCCTTCTTATCACACCTTATCCCACATGACAGGGGTGTCAAATAGTGGGCCCAGAAAATCTGATATCATTCCATTTGTGTCTGTAGAACTGTATCTGTGAAAGCTGGTTCTAGTTGTAAGGTGGGAGGGAGGAGGAGGATGATGTCAGAATAATTGCAACAATTTTTGTCCTGGATTCATTCCCTTGTTCATTCAACAAATTCTTAATGAGCACCTATGTGCAAGGCACCAGAAATAAAGTGATGAGCCAGACAGACATACTCGTTCTCAAAGGACTGACAGTTCACTGAGTAAGAAATCAACTGAGTAGCTACATAACTAAACAGGCTGTTCTACCCGGAAGGAAGAGTACAGTTTCCTTGAGAGCATATAGCAGGGATCTGATTTAGTCTTGGGAATCAAAATGGCTACCCTGAAGAAATGACATTTAAATTGAAATGCAAAGGATGAGTATCATCCCTTCAAAATTTTGTTCCTTTCCCACAGAGCAAAACATGCAGACAGCTCTCTTTTTTTTTTTTTTTTTTTTTGGACAGGCAGAGTGGATAGTGAGAGAGAGAGACAGAGAGAAAGGTCTTCTTTTTGCCATTGGTTCACCCTCCAATGGCCGCTGCGGCCAGCACGCTGCGGCCGGCACACCGCGCCTGTCTGAAGGCAGGAGCCAGGTACTTATCCTGGTTTCCCATGGGATGCAGGGCCCAAGCACTTGGGCCATCCTCCACTGCCTTCCCGGGCCACAGCAGAGAGCTGGCCTGGAAGAGGGGCAACCGGGAAAGAATCCGGCGCCCCGACTGGGACTAGAACCCCGTGTGCCGGCGCCGTTAGGTGGAGGATTAGCCTATTGAGCCGCAGTGCCGGCCCAGACAGCTCTTAAGCTGTAGCATCCCCCCCAGCCCGTCATGCCAAATAATATTAACTAATTTGAGATGGGCAGTTGTTCCTTGTTTAAAAATTAATTTTAAAAGCATTTTAATGTGTTCTTAATGTACTAGATTTTGTGATTGTATCTTAAAACAAATTTGACTCAGCCAAAAGATGCCATTTATTTAAAGAAGATAGTTTAGTCTGATTCTAACTTCTAATCAAGGGTTCACTTGTTGTAATTTCTTTTTAAATAATTGAATTTAGAGGTGGCTTTGAAAATTATTATTTAATTTTTCTGTTTTTCATTTGGGGACACATTATTTTCATAGTTTGAAAAATGGAAATAATTATGCAAAATTATTATTAAGTCTGCAGAAGTTCTATTTGACCGGACCTATAACATTTGTTGTTATCTTTTTTATATTTTCCAACCCTTTATGCCATTCTTTTTTTTTGGACTGATAAAATAGTTATATAACTGCATCAACAGTTTCTTCCATAAACACAGATTCACATAAAAATCAAATTAAAAAAGAAAAGCCTATCATTAAATTCCTTTAAAGTCCACGCTCAGTTTTCTTTAACTGCTACAGATAGTGTATGAATCAACTGGTCTATATATTCAGCTGCCTTTTTCAGCAGGTGGAAAACCTCTTTCAAAGGTCAAGGATTAAAAACAGCTACAGAGCAACAGAATGAGGTATTTGCTACCTCTACTCAGAAGTGCATTTCCTAGTAGGTCCGTTGTTCTGTAGCAGGCATGGGGAACTGTTTCATTGCCAAAGGCCATTTGGATATTCATAACATCATTCGCAGGCCATATGAAATTATTGCCTTAAAAATGAGTCTGCTATAGATTTATTGAATTTCGAGTCCCACCTGCAGTTGCTTTGGCAGGGCCAGACCAGATGATTTCACGGGCCTTATAATGGCCCATGGGTCAGATGTTCCCCCACACCTGTTCTACAGTCAGATAATAATAGTATGCTTAACAGTTTGATTCCTTTATAGTACATATTGCATCACCAATATATCTAGGTAACAACAGTGCCTGCCCATGTACAAGAAGGCCTCAAAAAGTTCATGGAATATGCATATTTGAAAAATTGTGTGTGTATTTCAATATTTTTGCACCAGAATAAATTGATATTTTAGTTCAATTTCCACAAACTATTTGAGATACCCGTGAATGTCGATAGCTTTTGATAAGGTTGGTTTCATTGGTCAGAGTCCTGATTTAAATTTCCCTCTCTGGATTCTAGATTCTTGACATTTTAAGGCGCTCATGGGCAAGCTGCTGTATTCTTGGGTTCCACTCAAAGAGTAGATATCCCAGCTCTCTACGTGTGTAAACAAGATCATCTCTTATATGAGAGAACTGAACAGAACTGATTTAGCAAAGAGAAGCCACCTATCTAAGCCAAGATGGCCCTGTGGAAAATTATTGAGCTATTATCAAACTATATTAAATTCCTTCCTACAATTATATTATTATGTGTGCTAAGGGCTTTTATATTAGGTAGTGTTTGATGGTATCTTGCATCCATTTTGCAAATTCGCAGTTAAATAGAATACTTAACATGGGAACTTGGTGGAATAAAAGAGCACAGGGGAAGAGTTAAGTGAAACATAACTGCAAAAAATCCACAGCTCCCAGCTTCTCATTATTTTTGTCCTTTTCTATCCTGATTCTGGCTCTGCCCTACTACTAATCTTCTCAACTTTTTGTCATCATTTGATCTTCCCAAACTAAGTAACACAATGATGATTTGTACAGTTAGTATGGGAAAAGGAGGTGATAGGTGGCAAAAGAGGCCAAGAAATTAAGGAAGTAGTATAGTCTTCCTATTTTCATCACTTTCCCTTGACCACCTAATTGAAGGGTTTGTGGTATTAGAGAAAGTTTACATGTAATTAACAAATTCATTTCACAAGGTAGGTAAGATTACTATTTAAGAAAGAGTCCTGAGTTTTGGATGTGACATTAAATGTGAAGTAGGAGTAGCGATTAGCTCATGGGAATTCTCAGAATGACTGTCAAATTTAGTTTAAAATTAAATTTTGAATGCTACTGTATAATTAACGTATTTTACATGCAATATATGATTTACTTCTCTTTATGGTCCAGTGTTTTCTAGCCAATTCTTCCACAAGAAGAATGGGAATGACTGAATATTACCAATGTATGAGACCCAATGACAGCACAAGAACTCAGTGTTCTTTTAGTTTTTACAAAGGTCTATGGCCTTGAAATGTCCTTACTCTGTTGTTAGACTTATTTGGGGGATGAACAAATCTATAAAGTATCTACTCTAGAAGGATATGATGGTATTATCATATTACACCGTGAGATAGAAAATCAAAAGGTGATTCTCTTTCTTAGTGGCTAAACACAAAATCACACTCTTCAGGAAGTGAAAACTGGGCATCTTGGTCCTTTCTGTTCAAAATAGTAAGAGTCAAGACCATGCTGCTTGGTTGTGGCATATAGTCTTCTTGATATTGAAAAAGCATTTAATCTGTGATATAGGAAATCCTTCCTCAGGTTATTAACCATGAGGATAAGGGTTCTGTCTCTTTTATTAATGGGTATATCTCCAGTACTTAGTGCAGTGCGTGGCACATAGTAGGTGCTTAGAACATGTTTATTGAATGAATAGTAGTGCACAAAAGATAGTCACTAATTAGTGTAAAATTAGTCACTCTGAACTGAGACAATCTCTACAATTAGTTTTCTTTGTGGTAATGAAAGAAAGAAGATAATCATTTTCTAGATTTCATACCTTTAAATTTTTTTAGGTTCTCTTATTTTTATTTGTATCTCAATGGAAAATATAAGAAAAAGAGAAGTTCTGATTCCCAGATTGAGCCAATGCTAAAGGGCTACAGAGTTTATTGAGGTGACTCAGTGGAAGGCCCTTAATAGAACAAGGGAGACTTTATACTGCAGCTGTTTGCTGATATTCAGAGGCAGAACTACCTATTTTTATCTCTTGGCCACATTCCAGTGAACTGTCCCAGCAGATGGGGCAGAGGGTAAGAATTGGAAGGGTTATACTTTGGGTGGTGAGTTGAAATCATCAAGATATATGATCTCTGACATTCATATTTCTAGAAGATGAGGAGATGCCTAGTCTATTAGGTCTGAGCAGTGCCACTATCTGGTACTTTTGTTACCCTCTCTAGGTAACTACCCTTTTCATTTTATACTGAGATTACTTCTAGCAATGAGAGCCATTTCATCTAGACAAGAAAGGAAGCTGCCCAAGGCTTTCTCCAGTTCTGTTACCCAATGAAAGGGAGCCTTCTTTACATTTACAAAGTGTGACTCTAATGTAATGGAACTACTTAATACGCACAAACCACACAGGAAAATCTGACCCATTACTCCATAGTAATTTCATATGTTTTTAACTGAGTAGTTTTTGCCGAGAAATACCAAAAGGAATCAAAAAGGAGGAACTTTACAAATGTTCTTCATTTGTACATTCTGTCACCTATCTTAAGATGCTTTCTACCTTTCTAATGTCTTTTTTTTCTTGTGTAATTACAGCTTTGGTTTTACAGATAAAGTAATAAAGAAGAGCCAGTGTCCCATCGGGGTCTTTGGTAATGGGTTCAAGTCTGGCTCGATGCGGCTCGGAAAGGACGCTCTTGTCTTCACCAAGAATGGGGGTACCCTGACTGTTGGACTCCTATCACAGACCTACCTGGAATGTGTCCAGGCCCAGGCAGTTATTGTACCAATTGTTCCATTCAACCAGCAAAACAATATCCTTTCTGGAAGGAGAGAATGTTGGCTACAAATTAGTCTTGTCTGACTATTTTGAAGAGGACTGCTTACTTTCAGGTCAAATCCAGCTATCATTTGGTCTTTCATATTTTAAAAATGTCTTCATATTTTTAAAGATGTGTTCAAATGTGTTAAAATTAACTGGAATATCCCTCTGTTAAATAATTATAAAATAAGTAGATAGATCATTGGCAGAAGCTTTGAAGTGTATTTTCAAATGCTGAAATTTTCATTATTATGCAGTTTATATTTAACTCATGGTTAATTTCCCAGGGCACCCCTAGTTTTTTGATTTAGCTACATTGGTTTTCATCTTCCTAGAATCATACTGTTAATCAGCTTGTCTGATAGCAGAATATCTCGTTTCCTTGTATCTGGACAAGCTGTGATTTCCGTGAGACACCAAGTTTCTTGGTGGGTGCATTAAGAGCAGTAAGGTCGGAATCATTGCTTCCAAAGACTTTAAAAGGTCAGCCTTCAATCCTTTTCATAAATATCAGCCTGTCTTTGTTTATATTATATCTTCGAAGCTGTATTCTGCAAGAGTATCTGATTTTGGTGTTTGTCGCCCATTTTCCCCTTCTTTTCTTTAGCTGTAATGCCTGTGCTTTATGTTCATATTTTTGTGTACACATGCAACTCAAAAGGTAGATCTTCCTTCTTTATAGCATTGTCTTAAGATACTATTTTTTTCTTTGACTGTGTTTGGTTTTACAAAAAATGATTATTACTGAGGATTCCTTGCCCAGCCTAGAAGCCATCTTGAATTATTCAATCTTCAACAGTGAAAATGACCTGTTGGCCCAGTTTGATGCCATCCCAGGCAAAAAAGGCACCCGTGTTCTCATTTGGAACATCCGCAGGTATAGTATTCCAAAGGTCATCGATTCTAATAAGCAGAAGTAGTGTGATGAATCACATTTTAATAAATCTTTCTGAAAAAGAGTACATATATTTTGATACAAATATATGTCTCCTTACATACCTTTCTAAAACTTTCTCGTAGAACCACAGTCCTGTTTTGACAAAGTGGTTCTTGTTAGTAAAATGTTTAAGGTGAAAACATGTATATCCTGAGGCTATTGCCACAGATAACAAATACAGTTTGTCATTGTTCTAAGAACCTCAGAATCCTTTGTAAATATCTATTTCATCTCCATGGGCATTGTTTTGAGGTTGGTAAATGGCAGTTATTTTTAATGTATTTGACAGTGAAAATGAAGTATGAGAAAAAAGAAATTAGAGTAACAAAGCATAACCATGATCTTTAAAAATGAAAGAACTTTGTATTAGTGCTTTTAGAATAACTGCATTAGAAGTAGAAAAATCTTTGAAGCAGATAGATTTTAACTGTAATTAGGTTGGTTTAAAATCTTGTCTTTAGAACTAATAAAATAATACTCTGTGGTCTATCATTTGTTTAATCTTGACATGTCAGATGGAATACATTTAAAGAATATTAAATCATAAACACAAAACCTAAAATCCTTTAATATAAACTAGAAGTGTTCCTGGTATGTTTAATACAACATACTACCAGATATATTCATTCTTCCTTTTCTCCTTTGGTCAAGTATTTTATCTTATTTCTTACCTGGGTGAAACTCAGATTAAAAAAAGTAATGCTGGTTTGTATGAGTACTTACAATTAAAAAGAATAAAAATAAGGCAGGCTTACACATGAATAATTTAGATAGTTCTCCTCTGTGTCCTACTAGGAAAACTTCAAATCTATATTACAAAGGGTCATTTTTCTGAGACATTTCCAGTGATTTACACAGATTTAACACATTTTTTCTGTATATGTTATTTATTAGTTATATGGTCCTAGATGTTCTATAAAGGATTGCATGGTCAAGTAAGCTTGAGAAAAGCTGTCTTAAACAAAGTATACCATGCTGCTTTTACTCCAGGACTTCTCAGAGGCTTACATGTGCTAATGTGCACCAGAGATATTTAAGAGACCAATATCTCCCAATTTTTAAAACAATGTTTTCCATTGCTTCTTGGCCTTTTGGCTAAGATTAAATGTAAAAAAAAAAAAATGTTCTCCAGGCTCTTTTCCTTGCACAGGGAAGGGGAGAAGGAGGGAGGTCCAGGAACTTCCTCTGGGTGTATATATTACAGTAGAGTGCAGTAGTGAGAACTGAGATTATCCTAGAAAGTCCAGAATAGACAATGACAGTGTCATGGGCTTTATATAGGCTACACGCCACAGTGACTCTGGTCCAGCTCTGCAGAAGGAGCAAGATTTTCAATATAGCAACTCTGAGCTTTGGAACCAGAAGTATGAAGAAATCACTGGAGCTTGAGGTGACTCTGAGGGCTGAGAACTTTTCTCAATTTTATTTAATCCTTACAACATTTATGTATGTATGTATGTATGTATGTATTGTTTAAATGTATCACGAGGGCCTATTGTTCCGCAGAACAAATTTTGGGAACTATTCTGCTTTATTTATTTCTTCATGACATGTGATTTGGTTTTTTAAAAATATTTTATTTATTTATTTTGAGAGGTGGAGTTACATAGAGAGGGAGAGGCAGAGAGAGGGAGGTCTTCCATCTGCTGGTTCACTCCCCTCAGTAGCTGGAGCTGACCTGAAGTCAGGAGCCAGGAGCTTCTTCCAGGTCTCCCACATGGGTGCAGGGGTGGAAGGACTTGGGCCATCTTCCACTGCTTTCCCAGGCCATAGCAGAGAGCTGGATTTGAAGAGGAGCAGCCGGGACTTGAACCGGCGCACATATGGGATGCTGGCGCCACTAGCAGAGGCTTTAGCCCACTATGCCACAGCACTAGCCCTGTGATTTGTTTTAATTATTTTTTTCCAGAAACAAAGGCGAATCTTATTTTCTTTCCTTGGCAGTGATTAGTAATAGTGTGTGTGTGTGTGTGAGAGAGAGAGAGAGAGTGTGTGTGTGTGATATGGACCAAAGCTACGTGACCCAGACAAATTATGGGAAGAAACGTCCTAATGAAAGGAATATTGGCACTATTATATTTAAGTGATAATTCCATAAGTTGTATTCTAGAAAACTAATAAATATATACCATTTTTTTCAAAATTCATTTCTCTGAAAGGCAGAGTAATGGCGAGGGGGAGAGAAAGAGAGAGGGAGGGAGGGAGGGAGAGAGAGAGAGAGAGAGATAGGGATAGGAAGAGGAAGAGGAAGAAAAACATCTTTCATTTGCTGATTCACTTCCCAAATGTCTACAATATCCAGTTCTGGGCCAGGCTGAAGTCAGGAGCCAGGGACTATCCTGGTCTCCCATGTGGGTGGTAGTCACCCAAGTACTCTGGCCATCCTTCAGTGCCTTCCCAGGCACAAATGGCAGGGAGCTGGATTGGAAGTGGAGCTGGTGGGACTCAGACTGGTGCTCCAATATGGGATGCCAGTGTTGTAGGCAGAAGCTTAGCCCACTGTACCACAAAGCCAGCCCCAATACATACCATTTCTATAACAATTTTTTTCCTTCCAAAAAGGTTAGATCTGGGGAAATCTTGGCATCTTATTAATCCTTACATTATTGCTGAAGTTCATAGAAGTAGGTTTTGATTCATCTCTTCATTCAGTTAAGGAAAGTGGTATTAAATGACTTATCCAGTAATACCCAGAAAGTGAAGATCTATTTTAAGATCCTACTGTGGGAGATAGCTGATATCCACTTGATTTATCAGATCATATTGCACATTCCTTTTCTTTTTGTACCCTTGGGAAGTTGGTATCACCTCCTCTATGAAACACAGAAGATTTGTTTAGATTGGAAATACCCTTAAATATTATGTGATCTTCAAACCATGTAGTTTGTAGTTCCTTTGCACTGGTAGTCAGGGAAAGATACAGATGTCCAAGTTGTGGCTCATATTGTTTCTTTTCTCTTGGGTTCCTAGTGCATTTTTGTCTTTTGGAGCCAGTTTTTGTTAGATTGGTACTTGTCTCTTTTACCCAGAAATAAAGATGGAAAGTCTGAGTTGGACTTTGATACAGATCAGTATGACATCCTGGTATCAGACTTTGACACAGAAGAGAAAGAGACTGGTGATGTTACCTCTGAGCTGCCAGAAACAGAGTATTCTTTACGGGTGAGTAAGACTGGCTTTTCTTCACCAATCGGAGGTAAGATTTCCTGCAACACGAAAATATTGTAGAATAAGATCTCATTTTAGTTATACGAAGATGACAACCTTTTAGCCCTGCGCTAGACGTCTCTTTCACTGTCTCCACTGAAGCAGTTTAGCCAATTCCATCAGCACATTTTAATGTGGTGGTTGATGTAGTGCAACAAGGTATAGAAACTGAGCCAAATCTTTACCTAGAATAGACTCAGTTGCTAGCAGTGTTTTATGGGGATGTCAGTAGAATTGGAAATGTCACATAATAACTTTCCCTTCACTGTCCCATAGGCGTTTTGTGGTATTCTATATATGAAGCCACGAATGAAAATTTTTCTGCGTCAAAAGAAGGTGACCACACAGATGATTGCCAAGAGCCTGGCCAATGTAGGATATGATCTATATAAGCCTACCTTCACAGTATCCTTACAACTACATGTAGCTGACCTCTTCGTTTCAGGATTACATTTCCAGGTTGAAAAACAAAAACTTTCCTTTTCTAATTAAAAAATGTGTGTTACAGTACAAATTGTAAAACTCATAGGAATTGTATGTACTCATAGGAAGTATATTATTCAAAGATTTATTTATTTGAAAGAGTTACAGAGAGAGGGAGAGATAGAGAGAGAGAGAGAGATCTTCCATCCGTTGGCTCACTCCCCAGATAGGCCAGGCTGAAGCCAGGAGCTTTATCTGGGTCTCCCATGTGGGTATCGGGGCCCCAAGTACATAAGTTGTCTTCTACTGCTTTTCTCAGGCCGTTAGCAGCAAGCTGGGTCAGAAGTGGAGCAGCCGAGACATGAACCAGCACCTGTATGGGATGCTGGCATCACAAGCAGCAGCTTTACTTGCTACGTCTCAACACCTGCCCCGGGAAGTATTTCTTAGACCCCACTCTGTGCATTAGTTTATATAAGAAATCACATGGAAACTTTAAAAATAATAGCCGAGATTTTATAGAGTCTTGTTCAGTAAATTTTCAAATATTTTTATGAGTCTTTAAATTTTATTTATTTATTTATTTATTTTGTTCAAGAAGCAGAGAGAGCACGAGCTTCCCCATCTACCTGTTCACTCCTCAGATGCCTGCAACAGCCTGGATGGGGTGGGTGCTGCAGCCTAGAGCCAGGAATTCAATCCAGGTCTCCCAGGTGGGTGACAGAGACCCAACTACTTAAGCCATCACCACTGTCTTCCAGGATATGCATTGGCAGGAAGCTAGAATCACAACCTGTTTTCAGGAATAAAACTCCAATATAAAACATGGGCGTCCTAACCAGCATCCTAACCACTAGGCCAAATGCCTAACTCTGCAATCTTTTTGCTTTTAAATAAAAAGTACTTATTTTTAAGTCTTTGGCTGATTCGAATGAACAGCCAGGTTTGAGAATCTGTCATAAGGAGTACTTCATATCATTTGGTTTTGAATTTTGTTATATATGACATTAATTGATATAAACAAAACAGAAAATTGACTAGAATGCATTAATCTTTTGGATATAGTACAATTTTGTTGTAACATATCAAGACCTAACACTAATGAAAATTAGGAAAGTGGAAATTAAAGGCTGATTTTCTAGAGTGACAGGAATCTTCAGCAGGCTTGACATGGATTTCCTGGTACTTCTAAAGACAGTCACACAGAGAAGCAGTTACTTGTTTCCACTCCCCCCAAACCCCGCATTAGAAGCGGATCTCAGATACTAGAGAAAATCGTAAAATGAACTATAGGAATTAGATCCATCTTTGTTGATGGCATCCAGAGTGAAAAAGAAACAGTCTTTAAAAGACTGGGAACTTGGCCGGTGCCGCGGCTCAATAGGCTAATCCTCCACCTAGTGGCGCCGGCACACAGGGTTCTAGTCCCGGTCGGGGTGCTGGATTCTGTCCCAGTTGCCCCTCTTCCAGGCCAGCTCTCTGCTGTGGCCAGGGAGTGCAGTGGAGGATGGCCCAGGTGCTTGGGCCCTGCACCCATGGGAGACCAGGAGAAAGCACTTGGCTCCCGCCATCGGATCAGCACGGTGCGCCGGCCGCAGAGCACCTGCCGCGGCGGCCATTGGAGGGTGAACCAATGGCAAAAGGAAGACCTTTCTCTCTCTCTCTCACTGTCCACTCTGCCTGTCAAAAAAAAAAAAAAAAAAAAAGACTGGGAACTTACAAACTGTTATGAAGACTTGCTCTTTCAATTTCTTTTCTAGTAGATAAGCACAGCTCTTGGCCCAAGAATCATATTCATGTTCTCCTTGCTTTATCAAAGGCAATATCTAGCATACTTTGCCTTTTGTTCTCTGATTAAAAATTAGAAATAGCCATTCCTGTATTTTTAAAAAGTCACACGAGCAAATTAATTTTCTCCTTTTGGGAAATATATGCCTTGCCTACTAAGAAGCATATTTTTAGAAAAGCTCTTATCCAACCCAATTTAAGAAAGCCAAAGCTAGCATTGTTAGCATCTGTAGGTAAATTAGTTATACAATCAATCTTACATAGTCTAGGATCTTAATGTTGCAGGTTTAACAGACCCAGTCTAAAGAAGTACTCTCCAACTACTCTTTTAGAATATACAACATCTTCTGTCTAACTTCTTTCTTATGTGGTTTTCTATTAGGACATCTTCCATACATGCGTTGTATATGTACCTCAGTTCTTCTCAATACCTGTTCTCATTTAGCCAGTTACTTTCCCATTTTAGAATTTGGGCTAAATGGGCTCACTATAGGCATGAGTTAAATGAAACTACTAAGATTTCACCAAGGTCACTGAAGAACAATATCATTGGTACTGACATTGATTCCTCAATTATGAAAGGTCTCTCGCCCCCTCTTTGTTTTTTCTCCTCATACTAGTTCAGGAAACCTCCTATTCCGGTGTTACCTGATCCCATAATTTGTCATTTCAAAAGTTTACACCAGAAAGAAAATATTTTGGGGCCAGTGCTGTGGTGTAGTAGGTTAAACCTCCGCTTGTGGTGCTGGCATCTCATATGGATGCAGGTTTATGTCCTGGCTGTCCCACTTCCAAGCAGCTCTCTGCTGTGGCCTGGGAAAGCAGTGGAAGATGGCCCAAGTCCTTCGACCCTGCACCCACGTGGGAGACCCAGAAGAAGCTCTTCACTCCTGATTGGTGCAGCTTTGGCCATTTCAGCCATCTGAATGGTGAACCAGTGGATTAGAAGCTCTCTCTCTCTCTCTCTCTCTCTTTGTAACTCTGCCACTCAAATAAATAAATGAAATCTTTTTAAAAAATTAAAAAAGAAAATATTTAACAGTTTTTATTTTAGCAATATTAGTTTTATGGTGTGGGGTCTTGGTTTTTTCTGTTTGGGGGAATTTTGTTTTGTTTTTCAATTGGAAAAGTCTTATTTAAAGTTTGAGTTTCTGGACTTCATAACACAATCAGGGGTAGGGAACATCTGGCCCACAGGCTGTATAAGGCCCACAAGGTGGCCTTGCCAAGGCAGCTGCAGGCAGGACTTGAAATTCAATAAAGCAGTAGCAAGCGAATTAAGTTGATCATTTTGTACCCCACGGATGGTGTTGTAAATATCCAAATGGCCCTTGGCAGAAAATAAAAAATGTTTCCCACCCCTGAATTATATGTTCTGAGCCAAAAATTACTGTTATGTATATCCATCTGTTGAATCACATCTTTTGTATCATATTTGAAATATTTGCCATATGATTTTGATGCAAGTAGTTTGTCATTTAGAGGGAGCAATGGCGATCATCTTTAAAAAATAACAAAAGTAAGTTTTTATTTAACTTAGGTTGACATGAAGATTTCATAGTATTTTATTGTAATGAAAAATCTCAGTTTCTCTGTTCCCCTTTTATCTTTCTCATTCTCTTACCTTGGTTTTTAAGTTGAGAATGACTTTTTAAAAACTCACTATTATTCAATAATTAAGAACTTAATAATTAGTTCTTTTAGTTTAATCTATCCAAGCTTGTTAACTTCTTCCTATAAAATCTTATAGGACTTGCTTTCAAAGAGATTTTTGTTCTTGTTGGTTTTGTTTTAATTGTGTTTTATGTGGTTAGCACAACTTATTGCCTAAAACTGTACAGATTTCTGTTATGTCATTGACAATATTATCAAAACCTGTGATCCCTATCAGCAACCTGAGAAATTAGTAAAGAAATATTTTGTGGTTATTTGTGAATCTTTAAATCACTGATGGTATTGTAGTATATTTTGTTGTAGACTTTTCGGTGCATATGTATGTTTTATATGTGTACATTAAAATACAGATGATAATACTTTTATATTATGAGCACTTACTAATGCTCTCAAATGTTTTTCAAGGATATAACTTTAAGAACTACATGATAGACCACATGAGTATACCAACATTTATTTAATTATTCTCTTATTGTAGAACATTTAAGTTAGATTTTTCTGCTAGTGCACCCAATTGAAAAAAAATTCTCTGTAACTCATAAACCCTGTTATGCACCCCTGACTATTTCTGTAGGATAAATTCCTAAAAAGAGAGCTAGTTGGACAAAGATTAAGTAGATTTTCTAAAAATACCCTCTAGAAATATTTATTTTTTTGCTATAATATAGTGGTAGATTTTGTCTTCTAAGCCCTTGGTGTCTGTCTCCTTAATGATTTTCTTCAGAATAAGCAGGTGAGAATCACGTTTGGGTTCTCCTGCAAGAATAGCAACCAGTTTGGAGTAATGATGTATCATAACAACAGACTCATAAAGTCCTTTGAGAAGGTGGGATGCCAGGTGAAGGTGAGTGTTAATGTTTCTTTGTTATATGGAACTGAAAATAGGAGGAAGAGAATTTTATATATGCAAAGGGCATAGACTTAGTAATGGTTTTTACTCCCATCTCATGATGTTTGTTAAATTCTGATCCTAGAATTCTATCTTACTGGTGAGCTGTCTTGTATTGAAAAACTCTACCTTTCATTCTTTACAGCTGTTAATTAACCTGGGTATATTTTCTAGATATCTGTTAATAGGAGGTAAAATTAGAACACCAGCAGCTTCACCATATGTATCACCATATTAGTGTCTAAGGTAGCTCTTTCCATTTTCTTAGGGAGACAATAAGGCATAGTGGAAGGCATAAACAATTTGGTGGTTGAAGACCAAGATTTGGGTCCTGGATTTGCTGATTACAAGCTGAGTCCTAGGAGAAATCATTTCATTTCTCTGAGACTCAATTTCCTTCCTTTATTTTATACCTGCTTTGCCTATCCCACACTTACATGGTTGAGAGATTAAAATAAGTTATGTGAAAATTATTTGTAAATTGGACTGTGCAAATATTATAGTGATCTCCTGATGATAATTTAAAGTTGTAATGTCCACTAGAATCCTTTGATTTCTATTTCACAGATAAGACTGATAAAGCACAAAGAATGATAAACTGCTTTATATTATGTAGGAGGGTAGAGTTACATGATTGTAAGGCCTGGGAGAGCTAGTTTTCAGCTTATCTTGGTTTTTTCTTGTCATATGATCTTTAAATAACTTATGTTTGTGTGCCATTCTACTTATATCTTGACTCAATTCCTTCCATTAAAGAAAAAAAATTTTAAATCCTAAAGCCTCTTGCATCAACTTGTAGTTAAAAGTCACTGCAAGTTTGACTCTCTTTAATAGTTGTTTTAGCCTATGTATGTAGAAAAAGTGCTTATTTTAATAGATAGGCTATGATGATTACATAGCATCCTTAAATTTTTTTCAGATAAAGTTTCATTTCAGTTCCCTAGAATATACTAATATATAACCTTCATTTTTAAAAGTATGATTTCTTAATTTTTTAAAAAATAGTTTATTTTGAGAGGTAGAGTTACAGAGAGGGAGAGACAGAGAGAGAGGTCTTCCATCTGCTAGTTCAGAGACAGAGAGAGAGGTCTTCCATCCGCTAGTTCACTCCCCAAATGGCTGCAGCAGCTACAGTTGGGCCAATCTGAAGCCAGGAGCTTCTTCTGAGTCTCCCATGTGGGTGCAGGGGCCCAAGCACTTGCGCCATCTCCATCTTCTACTGCTTTCCCAGGCCATAGCAGAGAGCTGGATTGGAAGAGGAGCAACTGAAACTCAAACTGGCACCCTAATGGGATGCTGGCACTGCAAGCAGCAGCTTTACCTGCTACGCTACAGTGCTATCCCCTAATTCCTTAAATTTTAAAAAATGTATTTGAGGTACAGATATACAAAGAGAGAGAGAGAAAGAGAGAGAAAGAGAACGAACACACACACAAGTGCTTCCATCTTCTCCTTCACTCTCCAAATGCCCATGACAACTGAGCCTAAGCTGAGGCTGAAGCTGGGAGCCAGGAACTCAAATCATGTTTCCTACATGAATGGCAGAGACCCAATTATTTGATCCATTACTGCTGCCTTCCAGAATCTATATGAGCAAGAAGCTGGAGTCAGGAGCAAGAGATGGGTATTGAATCCAGGGATTCCAATATGGGACATGGGTGTCTTAACCACTGTGGTGGCCAAATCCCTACCCAGAACAGTATAGTTCTCTACTCAAAATCTTAAGGCAGTCCTGGAATATAAAGCAGATAAAAAGTGGTAGTGGTATGAGTAAAGCAGAAATGGCTGTTAATACCTCCAGAATCCAAGGGATCTATGAATCAAAGTTTGAAAATCTTTGCACTCAAATTTGTTAAAATTAGTTGCCAGTTGAGGGTAATACTTGTAGCCTATTGAAATGTATGGTGTTTCTGTAGATCTTGATGGTCTTTCTTTGCCCATGAGCATTATGTAACCTTTCTGTTATTGTTTGGAATCTAAAGGAAATGCCTCCAGGCAGTCAACAGTAATGTGAGTGTTGAAATTAATATTTTTTTCTAAGCCAACTCGTGGAGAAGGTGTAGGAGTAATTGGAGTCATTGAGTGCAATTTCCTAAAACCTGCCTACAACAAACAAGACTTTGAGTACACCAAGGAGTATCGGTGAGTCACTTCCAACCTGAGGTGTTTCTGATTGTTCAGTTAGGATTCTTTTCTCTGACTCCTCTAAAATCACCTCTAAAAACATGCCAGATTAGTTAACTGACAATTACTTCAAATCCATTTTCCAAGAGTAGAGAGAAAATGATTTCATTTTTAAATGAAAGCTCACTAGTACTTGATATATGGAGTCTGATTGATAAAAACTTTACTTTTAGAAATTATAGAGAGAGCATGTATCATTTGGTAAAATATTTCTGGGTGAAAGGAAGAGCCTTGAAATTATTCTTAAAAGAGAGTATGTGAGGGGGTAAAAAGCAGTCTGAAGTTTGTTCCAAAATATTTTTCTTGAAACCAGTGAACAAGTTTAGAGGAAAGTGTTGGAATAACAAGAAACATATGTGCTTTAATGGAAGTATCTAGGTCTAATAGGGAAGACAAACAGATCCGAATCAAAAAGGAATTAACACTGAGATTGAACTAGTAGGTGTATTTTTAGAAGATGAAGAAAGGCATTGTCACAGCCAGGTTTGGAATAGTTTTAAAACTTTTGAGGAGGGATGGGTCAATCACTTCTTCTTTCATCAAGTGTTATGAGATACCTTCTATGTGCCACATACTAGGGAGATCAGGATGAAAAATAAGAAAATTTATGAGTGATAACTGTTTAACAAAAATCTCAGAGCCTAGTCATTTTGTTTGTCTTGAGTGAAAGGAATCACGAATTTCTGGTGATACTTAAATAGTTAAAATTTGTGAAATTCATGTTTGATACTAAAAATTATTTAAGGGGCAGTGGTTAAGTCACAACTTGGAATGCCATCATACCATATCTAAGTACCTGGTTTGAGTCCAGGTTAATCAACTTCTGATCCAGCTTCCTGCTAATGAGCATCCTGGGAGGTATCAGATGATGACTCAAGTCCCTGCCACCCATGTGCCAGACCCAGATTGAGTTCCAGGCTCCTATCTTTGGCTTGGCTCAGCCTAGTTATTGTAGGCATTTGGAGAGTGAGCCAACCCTCCCTCTTCTTCCTTTTCTCTGCCTTTCAAATAAAAAGTTATTAAAGATATTTCTCTATCATCTTTGCTACCCTACCACCCGAGTATACCTTTTAAATTTTATAGGCATTAGTTCCTTGTTTGTTGTTGTTCTGAGAGGCAGACAGAAAGAAAGGGAAAGAAAGATGGACAAGACAGAGAACACTCCCATCTAGTGGTTGACTCCCTAGATGCTGACAATGGCCAGAGCTAGAGCCAGTAGCCAGTAGTCAGTAGCCAGGAACACAGTTACAGTCTCCCATGTGAGTGGTAGGGATCCAATTACTTGAAGTCATCACTACTGTCTCCTAGGGTCTGCATTGTTGGGAAGCTGGAATTGGGAACTAGGGCTGGGAATCTAACCTAGGCACTCTGATGTGGGACATTGGAATTCTCAACTGGTGTCTTAAACACTAGGCCAATGCCTGCCCCTCCCAGAGGTCTTGATGTCTACATTTAGTATGATGAGTTTGAGGTGATTTTTAGGGGATCTGAACAGAGATTTTCGATAAGACAGTAGATTAATCTAGTTAAACATATAGGATTTCTGGCTTAAGTAACTTAATATCTGCTGCACATTTATTAAAAACAACTATTATCTTGCATACAGTATTCTGAGGATTATAAATTTGCATAACTCTTGTCTCAATTCTGGCATTGTTGTCTTTTTCTCTATTTTATATAAAATGAAAAGATTTTAGATAAATGCAGGAACTTGAGAGAGGAATTAGTCTGTCTCCTATCACAAACTCATCCTACAAGTATTATAGATATCAAAACTGAAAAAAGATAAAAGAGAGAGGAGTATTTCTGGAATGTCTACAAGTAAGTCATCTTCAAGATAACTTTTGATAGTGGTGTGTACCATGTTCAGCTGCAACAAACTTAAAACATTTTTAGAGTGAGCTTTTAGCTTGAGAAATTCAAGTAACACATGTGAGCTGAGAACTGCACTGGTATACATACTAGCTAGGCTTTGTGGTGTGTTCCAAAAAATTCAAGTCATTATTGGTCTATTCAGGGAGCTTAGAGTCAATTTATAGTGTCAGATTGTCACATATATGAAACAGTTCATAGAACAATAAAATAATGTTTGACCAATAAAACCTAAGTGCTATGGTATAAGAAAAATGCTATAATAGAATAGAGAGGGAAGGTTTTAGATAGAAAATATAACTTGTGTTGTGCCTTAAAGGATACAGGACTTAGAAAAGATAGTAAAATGAATACGTGGATGAAATTATAGCAGGAGTTAAGGTAATGACAAAAACTCAGAACAGTAAGAATATTGGGAGTGTGGCTAATGGGTTGTAACTGGAGTGAAGGGAAGTCAAGGCCAAATCCTAGAGCAGGGGTTTGCAAATTTTTTTTTTTTCTGAAAAGGGTCAGAGAGTAATTATTTTAGGTTTTGTGAACAATATGGTCTCTGTCATAACTACTCAATTCTGCTGTAATATGAAAGCAGCTATAAACAATAGAAATCATCTTCTATTGAACAGATTATCACAAACATAGTAGGCTTAAAACAATACTAATTTGTCCTCATAGGATTCTGTAGAAGTCCAGCACAAATCTCATTGGTATAAAATCAAGCCATGGGCAGACTGCATTCCTTTCTAGAGGCTCCAAGGGAGAATCCATTTCTGGGACTGGTGCTGTGGTGTAGCTGGTAAAGCTGCCACCTGCAACACCAGTATCCCAGATGGGTGCCAGTTTATGTTCTGGCTGTTCCACTTCAGATTCAGCTCCATGCTAATAGCCTGGGAAAAGTGGTAGAAGTGGTCCAAGTTTTTGAGCCCCTGCTACCCAGATGGGACACCTGGAAGAAGCTCCTGGCTCCTGGTTTCAGCCTGGCCCAGCCATAGCCATTTCAGCCATCTGAGGAATGAACCAGCAGTTGGAAGATTCTTTCTCTCTCTTTTGCCCTCACTCCATCTCTGTAACTCTTATTTTCTTTTTTTTTTAAAAGATTTATTCATTTATTTGAAGGAGTCATGCAGAGAGATAAGGAGAGGCAGAGAGAAAGAGAGAGAGAGAGAGAATCTTCCATCTGCTGATTCACTCCCCAGACAGCCGCAACAGCCAGAGCTGTGCCTATCAGAAGCCAGGAGCCAGGAGCTTCCTCCAGGCCCTCCCACACGAGTGCAGGGTCCCAAGGACCCGGACCATCTTCCACTGCTTTCCCAGACCAGAGAGCTGTACTGGAAGTGGAGCAGCCAGGACCCAAACTGGCGCCCATATGGGATGTCAGCACCACCGGCAGCGGCTCCACCCGCTATGCCACAGCACTGGCCCTTCTCTATAAGTCTTACTTTCAAATAAGTAAATAAACCTATGAAAAGTTTATTTTTATTTTACTTGAAAGGCAGTTACACACACACACACACAGAGAAAGAGAGAGAGAGAGAGAGAGAGAGAGAGAGAGAGAGGTATCTTCCAACTGCTGGTTCACTCTGCAAATGGCTGCAACAACCAAGGCTGGGCCAGACTGAAACCAGGAGCCAGGAACTCTATCCTGGTCTTCCACAGGGGTGGTAAGGGTCAAAGCACTTGGGCCATCTGCTGCTACTTTCCCAGGCACATTAGTAGGGAGGTTGATTGGAAGTGGAGCAACCAGGCCTTAAACCGGCACTCGCATGGGATGCCAGCTTTGCAGGTGGGGAGCTTAACCCATTACACCATAATGCCAGCCCCCCTCCTTCTCTGATTCTAGTGTGTTTGCCCCACTCTTCCAATTTTAAGGGCCCTTGTGATTATATTGGATAATTTAGGATAATTTTCCTATCTTAAGATCAGCTGATAAGTAGCCTTAATTTCATCTGCAAGCTTTCTTCACCCTTGCTATGTGACCTAATATAGTCAGAGGTTTCAGGAATTAGAACATAGACACCTTTGGAGGACCATTATTTTATCTACCCCAATTTGTCCTCTGGTTCCCTAAGATTCACTTGCATCTCACATGCAAAATATGTTTATCTGATCCCGATATCCCTAAAAGTCTCAACCTATTGCAACATCAACTCCAAATTTAAAGTTTTACCTAACGTCATTGCCTCAAAAGTCCCAAATTTCATTGTTGAAATCACATACGGATGACACACTGAGTATGGAGCATGGTGGGACCAAATTCTTCTGTCTGTAGGTATGAACTCTTTTCCTCTTCAATCCTTTTTCCCCTCCTTCCTTCCTTCCTTTTTTTTTTCTTTCTTTTTGTATCTTGTACTTAAAATACAATGATGGAATAATCATAGGATACCAATTATATATATATATATATATATACACACACACAAACACACACACACATAGATGCATGCATGCATGCGTATTGTGGTTCAGATGGGGAAGAAGATGGAAGGGAAAAAGAGAGTTGAGAGAGTTGTAAGCTCCAAGCAATTTCAAAATCTACCAAGGAAATTTAAATTTCAAGGCCTGGGAATAATTCTCTGGGCCTTGCAACTCCACGCGCTAGTCTGCCCTCTGAGCATTTGGCTCTACCCTCAAAGTCATCATTCCTTGTTCATGAAGGATAACATGGGGTTGCAGCTAAGTAGTTTCAACAGCCTATTTCCTTTCTGTAGAATTTTGAGGGTTCAATAGGCTTCTTCCATTTTACATTCTCTCCATTCCTTTGACTTCAAACTAAAAGTTTGTGTGTTTTTTTTTTTTTTTTTTTTTGCTAGTGTGCCACTCTCGAGAACCTCATGGGTCTTCCATGTATGTTGCAGATATTCTGTTCAACAAAAGCCTGCGGACAGGTCTTTCCTAGATAACCCTATTTTTATTCTTGGCTTCAGCTGAGATGACTGACATGGCTGAGTCACATGCTAATCTTTTCAAAGAGTCTTATGCGTGGCTGCATACTCTGACCTTTTGATCTTTCTGAGTGATTGGTTGTCCAGTCTTATCCTCAGCTTTTAAGTGTGTTTTTTTCTGACAATCTTTAAATTTTAGCATCTTTTGCAATTTGGATGGGTTGAGAATTTTCAAAAAAATCAAGTCCTGGTTCCTTTTTGTTTAACAGTTCTTCCCTCAATTTATCTCTTGCCTCTCAAGCTTTGCAAGAGTGTCAAGAAGAAACCAGGACACACTGTCAACAATTTGTCTGGTGATCTCCTCAGCTAAATGTCCAGTTTCTTATTTATAAGTTGTGCTTTCCACGTAACTGTAGGACACAGTTTTATTAAGCTTTCTGCCACTGTGTGAAAAAGATTGCCTTCTCTATTGTTTTCCATTGACATGTTCCTAATTTCTTTGTGAGCCTTCACTAGCAATACCTTGATTTAGGTTTTCTATAAGGCAATTTGTGTTTTCTTTACCATTCTTCTAAACCCTCACCAGTGAAATGTTTTAACATCCATATTTCTACCAGTAGTCTATTCGAGGCAATCTAGGCTGTTTTTTTTTTGTCATGCTTCTCAAAATTCTTCCAGCTTCTGTAGTTTCCAATCCCAAAGTCACTCACAATTTTAGATGTTTGTTAACAGAAGCACGCCCACTTAGGCACTGAAATCTACTACATTCCTGTTGGTTACATCATATTTGTGTGAATCTGAGTTTAATCTTCTACATTTAAAGTAATCACTGCTAAACAGACTTGTGTCATATTGCCATTTGTTTTCTAATATGCCTTACAGCTTTTTGGTCCTTCATTTCCTACATTGCAATCTTCTTTTGGGTTTAGCTGATTTTTTTGTAGCAAAATGTTTAAATTATTTTCTCATTTCCTTTTGTGTATATTCTGCCACTTTTCTTGGTGGTTATCGTGGAGATTACATTTAACATCCTTAAATTATGACACTAATTTAAATTTATGTCAGGTTAATTTCAATTACATACAAAAATTCTGCTCCCTTAGCAACTGTCACCACCCCCTTGTTGATGTTATAAAACTAGATCTTTATACATTGTGTGTCCAAAAACAAAAATAACCTTTAGTGCACTAGTCTCTTAAACTATGTGGAAAACAAAATGTAGAGGTAGAAACCAAAGTTACAATAATACTATCTTTTAGACTTACAATATTTTTTCTTTTAAATGTATTCTCTTAAAGCATGTGGAAAACAAAAGGTGAAGTGACAAACTCCAAAGAGCCCTTGAATGTGACAAGTTACTTTTCTATTGCTGCTTTCAAGATTTTTCTCTTTGTCTTTGTTGACCATTGGATTTTAATGTGTCTTGATGTGAGTCTCTCTGAGTTTATTCTACCTGGAATTTGTTGAGCTTCTTGGGTGTTTATATTCATGTGCCTCAAAATATTTGGAAAGTTGTCAACCAGTATTTCTTCAGATATACTTTCTGCCTGCCATAGGACTAGGTATGGGGGATGGGTAGCTGTTTTTTTGCCTAGAATTGAAAATGACCAAAATTCACAATTTACCACCTGAGCCTTCCCCCTGGAAGTTGTAAGCCTTCAATAGACTCCAGAGTTCCAACTTAGGTACATCAGACTTGGCCAATGTAATTGTTGTCTGGGTGAAGAGACAGATTCTACATGCTTGCTACTCTTCCATCTTCCCAAAAGCCTGTTCAATCTACTTTTAAAAAAAAAAAAAAGATTTATTTATTTATTTATTTGAAGGTCAGAGTTACACAGAGAGAAGGAGAGGCAGAGAGAGAGAGAGAGAGGTCTTGCATCTGCTGGTTCTCTCACCAATTGGCCGCAATGGCCGGAGCTGTGCCGACCCAAAGCCAGGAGCCAGGAGCTTCTTCTGGGTCTCCCACGTGGGTGCAGGGTCCCAAGGACTTGGGCCATCTTCTACTACTATCCCAGGCCAATAGCAGAGAGCTGGATTGAAAGTGGAGCAGCTGGGTCTTGAACTGGTGCCCATAAGGGATGCCATCAATTTACTATTTTTCTAAAGAAGGTTTTTGAGAAGAAACAAGGAGTAGTTCTTCATCTGTGACTTGATGAAAGGATATAAACACAGGGCTAGGAACATCAGTGGTTTGAAGGAGAATAAGCTTATATGTGGATATGTTAACCTTGTCTGTGCAGTGAGAATATAATTGAATATGAATAAGATAGGGGTAAGGAGGAGTTCCTCTTTAGAATAGAAAAGGTCTGCAAAAACCTTGATAAATGATCCAGAGATTTAAAACATTTTGAATTCTAAGTTTCTAATGTTCCAGGTGTTTACAGTTCTATAATAAGTTGTATTCCTGGGTTGTAGAATTGAATAGGAATCAGTATAGCCATTTTAAAAGTAAAATTCCTATTTTGACATTTACAAATTACATTTGCATTGATCCTGTGTACACTGTTGTTCATTTGGGAAGATATATAAAGGAGAAGTAGCAGTAATAGCAGATGTGTAGTAGAATGTTGAAGGGGGCTTGTTTCCCTTCTGTGGTTAGCGTTTGGGTACAGGGAACTATATAGATATATTAAAGTTAATATGTGATTAAATTCTAAAAGAAAGAGTGCACTATTTGATCTTCTGACTTTCCACTTGGTCCTAAATTGTTCAACTGTAGTCCTCTGACAGTCAGTAACTGCCCATCAGCATTTGGCTCTATGCTAGCTCTGCAATGTGGTTCTCTGTTACAGTCTGTAAAGTTAACTTACCCACTCCCTCCATTATTCTATAAGCTACCCAAACTTGTAGAGCTCTACTTTTTTATTTTAAGGATTTATGTATTCATTTGAATGGTTATGGAGACAGAGAAATATTCATCTGCTGGTTCACTCCTCAAATGAAGCCAGGAACCTAGAATTCCATCTGGGTCTCCCACGTGGGTGCTGAGGGGCCAAGCACTTGAGTCATCTGCTGCTTTCCCAGTGCAGTATCAGGGAGCTGGATTGGAAGTGGAGGAGTGGAGACTGGAACCAGTGCTCACATGGGATGTTGGGCATTGCAGACTGCAGCTTAAGCCACTGCGCCACAGTGCTGTTCCCTAGAACTCTACTTTTTAAGACTCATGACCATTTTACATTTTCAGTCAAGTGACTGTTCACCATTATGGTTTTGCCATTTTGATAGGTAGTTTGCAAAGGCAGTGGATTCTCATCTTAGTTTAAGGTGTGTATATTTAAGATGGTACTGAATATACTAAATTGTGGGTTTGTGTAAAATGGGTGCATCTCAAAAATTGAAAAAGTGTTCCACATTTGCTGATTTTGGCATTATTCTTTTTGCATTTTCTTTCAGGTTGACAATAAATGCCCTTGCTCAGAAGCTCAATGCATATTGGAAGGAAAAGACTTCTCAAGAGAATTTTGAGACCTCAGTTATAGCTAGGCCAATACCGTGAGTAATAAATTATAGAGTATGAATATATTAGGGGTAATATCCATAGAGCAAATAAAAGGAACAAGGATACAATGAATGCTTTTAACATCAGGAAGTTTAATAGAATGAAAATAAGACATCATAGGTACCAATTATATCATTCTCTAAACTCCTTATTCTAGTTTAATACCTGTATCTCTTAGAAGATGAATGTCAATAATTTGTTATGGTCAGTTTATAACAGGCAATGTAGTATAGTAGAAGATGATAGTCATTTGAATCAGATGCTTGTGGCTTGAAAATCTGGATCTCCTTAATAGTTAGATGAGCTTAGGTAAGTAAGTCACTTCACCTTTAGCATATTAATTTGGTGGCATAACATTTCAGCACAGTGCCTGACATATACTTGGAGTTTGGACATGTCAGCAAACTTCCCTTCTCTTCATTACTACTAAATATTGCTAGGACTGAACCAGTTTTTGAGAATAGAACTAGAGAACACAGCTTATTAGAGAACAGGTAGAATGTATTGAGTCAGTCATCCATGCACATCAGGATGAAATGCCTCAATAAGTTAGAAAAGGAGCATAATACAGAGGATAGAATGCATAACAACATATAAATGAGGGTACTTAAAAAGAGTTCATGGCAAATGGAATTAATAAGTTTATTTTGTGCATTTATGAAAAATAAGGGTGTTGTTGAAAATACTTTTTTTAAAAAAAGTTTGTGTATTTGAAAAGCAGAGAGAGAGAGAGAGAGGTATCTTCCATCTGCTTGTTCACCCCCCAAATGCCACAACAGCCAGTACTGGGCCAGGCCAAAGCCAGGAGCCCAGAACTCCATCCAGGTCTTCCTCATGGAACCATCCTTGGCTTGGTCCATCCTCCATTGCTTTTCCAAGTTCATTAGCAGGAGACTGGACTGGCAGCAGAGCAACTGGGATTCAAACCAGTGCTTATATGAGATGCCAGCATTGTAGGAGACATCTTAACCCACTGTACCACAATGCTGGCCCTGAAAATAAGTTTTATTTTGAAATCAACGTAGAGTTTTGTCATAATATGCATTTTCTATGAATTTTTGAAGACTCCTCATAGAATCAGTTATACTATAATCAAGAGAGAAATTTCAGTTAACCCTGAGTTCATTTGGAGGTAGGCATTTCTGGTTTTTTGTTGTTGTTGTTGTTGTTGTTGGTTTTTCAATGGAAATCAGCAGACAGGGACAGGTATTGTGACATAGCAGATAGATATCCTGGCTTGGATGCCTGCATCTCATATCTGAGTGCCTGGAATGGAGACCCGCCTTTACCTCTGATCAGGCTCCCTGCTCATGCGCATCCTGGGAGGCAGTAGATGATGTCTCAAATACTTGAGTCCCTGCCACCTAAGTAGGAGATTCAGATGGAGTGTCTGGCTCCTGGATTCTGCCTGACCCCATCCCTAGCTGTTGCAGGCATCTGGGGGAGTAAATCCACAAATGGAATACTTTCTCTCTCTCTCTCTCTCTCTCTCTCTCTCTCTCATGTGCGCATGCGCGCGTTCTCGCTCTGCTTTTCAAATAAATCAAAACTTTAAATGTCAGCAAATGTGTGATATAAAATTTTCTTTCAAATGCTATTTGATTATGTATGTAACCATTGTCTTATTTTAAATATTTTAAGCTCATCCCAAGCTTCCTGATTTTCAAAGAAGTGCTATTTAAGATAAGATGTCATTTTTTGGCCTTTCCAATTAGCAAGGTTAATGCAGTGAAACAGATGTTAATATATTGCTAGAGAGTGTATGTGATGGAGGCAGAATTGTAATGGTTTATTTATTGAGTACTTATGTACCAGATGTCATTCTGACTTCTTTACATGTTGCAGTTTATTTAATCCTCGCAGCAATCCTGTGAGATAGATATTATATAATTAAATAATATCTATATTAATAATATAGATATTATTATGACTTCTTCACAGATGTAAAGACTGATATACCAAGAATTTAAGTAACTTGCCCAAGGTTAGACAAGTAGAAGGTGGTTAGAACCTAGGTTTATGTAGAGGCAGTTGGGCTTGCAAACCTAAGTTCTTAACTACTTAGCTCTTCTAGACGGATAAACAGAGGATACATCCCACACAGTTACTGTATACTCCAAGCATGAGCTCTGCTCTCTGTCTGAGTTGGAGGATCTAGCATGGTCTGCCTGTGCCCGGAAGCAGGGAGTTGCTGCCTCTAAGTGTGCTTGTCCCTGAGAGAGAATCATCTGTGCTTATGTATGTAAATCCAAGGCTTGTGTGACTTTTCCTCTTCCCTACCACTACTGCTGAAATTGCGTTTGGCCAGGTCTGGTTCTAAATAAAATAGTGGCTGTATGGAAATAGACAGTAGAGGTCAGTCCTGAGCTTAGAGCTTAGAGGTTGCCAGACTGGAGCAGCCTGAGCTAAAATGTGTATAAACTTTCTTTGTTAAAGCAGAGTTTTATTTATTAATTTTTCTTTTTTGATTAATGAGTAATATTTTTATGGGGTACAGTATATTTCAACATATGAACTTATCAAATCAGGTAATTAGCATTTCCTTATGTTTGGAATCTTGGAGCTCCTCTCTTTTTCTCCATAAAAATATATAATGCGTTGTTGTGAACTGTGGTTGCCCCATTCTGCTGTGGAACGCTAGAATGCATTGCTTCTATTTAGCCATATTTTGGTCCCTGGGGTGGTGGTGCCCCATCCCGTCATTCCCAACCTCTAGTAAACACTATTCCACATTCAGATGGATCTTTTTAAACTTCCACATATGAGAGACAATATGTGGTATTTCTCTTTCTATGTCTGGCTCATTTTATGTAACATCCTTCTTCGAGTTTTACCCATTTTGCTGCACATGACAGGATCTCATTCTTTTTTATAGCTGAATACTAGTCCATTGTGTATGTGTACTGTATTTTCCTTATCTATTTATTCTTCAGTGCTCAGCTAAAGAAAACATCGAATTGAGTGATGGAATTATGAGTCCCTTTTATTTTCTACTATATATCTTTATTTCTAGTATTACTGTAATGAGATTATTATGGTTTTTGTCTAGAGAAAGCACTATTTAAAATGATAAGAAAATTATTGATAAGACATAAGAGAACCACACCACTCTAATACTAATATAATACTAATATAAGAGCAGTATTAATGTAACATACACAAGACCTACCTCAGAAAAACTTACATGTTAACGAAACTGGTGCCTTTTTACCCTCTTTCTGTGTCTTGCACACCTTAGGTACTAACTACTTCTGTCATATCAGGCCACAACAAATTCTCATTGAGGTGTAGGTGACTGGGTTACACTTCTGGAGGAGGGAGGATGGCAGTTGGTATGCATTTTAAGAGTTGAACTCTAGAAGACTTTTATCTTAATAATTTAAACCTATTGCTGATCTAGAAGCACTATTTCTATTTGTAATATTAATCAAATTTATATTGCTTTTTAAGATTAACTTGGGGATTATCAGTCTAATAAAATTTTGATTAAAGTATTATTGAAGACTTTTTTAACAGTGAAAAAAAGATTAGGGAATCACAAATTGATGGAGGATATGTTTGCCAATAGTGCTTCAATTAGTCCTATAAATACATTTTAAGACTTACATGATTGGACAGAAGCAAATAATATGATTCTATGAGTTATATTTCTTGATAATATTGTAATATATATTAAATTTTTCTAAGTTAGCAAACTTAGAGTTAAAATTACTCTATTTACTTAAACAAGTTGATTCCAGTATAAATATTATTGACCTTTGCAAATAATCAATCATTGTGTTAATACTTTCTATTTTCATGCTCATATCTGATATAGTTCTGCCATTATTTTATCTATGAAGTTCAAAATATAGGCTATTTAGACCTTGAACTATAACATTTGTAACACATTTCATATATAAAATTAGATTCTTTCAGTTTTAGAGTATGCCTTTCTAATGTAAGACAAAGCACAGAGCTAATGTGTACACAGTCACATTCCTATTTTCCTTCATTCAGGAAGATTCCTGACCAGACGTGGGTACAGTGTGATGAGTGTCTTAAATGGAGGAAGCTTCCTGGCAAGGTGGATCCATCCACACTACCTGCAAGATGGTTTTGTTATTATAATACCCATCCAAAATACAGGTAAAATTCCAGGACTCAATATTATACCAAAGAAGATTCCTGATTTGTCTTTATATTTTAAAACAATATTGATCTCAAGTTCAAAGTTTTCAGTTTGACATTCAAGCCATATATACCAATTAGCCACACCTTACCTCGCCAGCCTTATTTTTTGTTATACCTTAACCTAAACCGTAACTTTGTATTTTAGCCAGGTCTGTGGTTTCACTATTCTCCACACATGCCTCCTCCTCTGCCCTTTGATATTATGTGCCCTCTTGCTTCCAGTGACTTCCTGCGTTCCATCTGCGCATCCAAATCATATACATCTGAGGCACTTAAGCCTTTTGTGTGACACTTTCCCTGTTGACAATAGCTTATAGTGATTTTACTCTGAATTCCCATGCCATTTAATTCTTTACATTGGTATATATACTGCTGTTTTGTGTTCTTTTCATATGTATGCACTTTGGCTCTTCAAGAGATTGTAAACTCCATAAGAACAAGGGCTTCACGTTCCAGGTTGACCTGATGATTTTCTTCACATGCCTCCTCTATGGAATCAATGCTGTAATAACCATTGTATGTTCAATGTTATTGAGTTCCATGTTTATTTTCCCAGTGTACTGTGTTCCTTGAAGTATCCAACATCCAAATAGTACCTGGCATGTTCATTTACATTTCTTTATTTGACTGTCACATGAGTTCATAATAATAGGTTGATTTGCTTTGATTCAGCTATAAATTTCTTAAAATCCCTTCTCTTTTGACAGAATAAATGCTGATAGAATAAAGATACTAAAATGTAGTATGCATTTTAGGAAAAATGTCTGAAATGGAGGGCATCCAGCAAATGAGTATAGGTCTGTCAGGTATAAACATTCCCTCATAGTCTCCAGATGTGCCTTTCCATGGACTGTGATTGGGATTGTATGATGAGACTAAGTGACTAGAAATTTCATTTTTTAGCACTTTATCTCCTGTTTGCATGTAGTGTAAGAGACCACCAGGCCACTTTATCCCCTTATAGAATGGGTATAACCTGATTTCTAATTCTTATTAATTTTTGTCTGTTTCTCAGATTACTTTTGACCATTGAATGAAATTTCAGTGTTCTTTCAGTGTATACTCCTAACATTATTTTCCTTATGCTTTACATATGGTGAGGTTTTGTAATGTGGTTCAGATCTGAACTCTTTGTCAGAGGGTTGTCAGAGTTGTAAGGAAAGAAAAGAGAAAAACTAAAGGTCATATCTGAAAGATGGTGTTTTCTCTCTACTGCAGGAGATGCTCTGTTCCAGAGGAACAAGAACTCATTGACGAAGACCTGTACTTGAGCAAAGCTAAAAAGCAGTTGAGTATACACGAAGTGATGTTCCTAACGGGACAGAGGAGTTTTGAGAAAGGAAAGGTTTTTCTTTTTTTATATAAAGATGTATTTATTTATTTGAAAGAATTAGAGAGAGATCTGGTTCACTCCCTAAATGGCTTCAATAGCTGAGATTGACCAGGCTGAAGCCAGGAGCTTCTTCCAAGTCTCCCATGTGGGTACAGGGGCTCAAGTACTTGGGCCATTTTCCACTGCTTTCCCAGGAGCATCAGCAGGGAGCTGGATGGGAAGCGGAGAAGCCAGGACTCGAACCGGTGCCCATATGGAATGCCAGCACTGCAGACAGCAGCTTAATCTGCTGCACCACAGCACCGACCCCTTTGCTTCCTAATAACTTCTCTTCTCACCTTCTAACCATCCCCTGAATGTCTCAGCTAGCGATTATATTATGCCCCACTCCCTCCTCCTCAGTGAGAGATTAGAAATCTCACTTCAATAGCATAGTTCAGGAAGCCACCTTTAGTTACTCTATGAGGCTCACACTAGTTCTAATTTGGAAGGAACATTATAACCTAAATCTACAATTGGTAATCCATTTCCGTCTGATAAATATCATGACTAAACTAAATAGCACTTTTATCTTTTCCTAGAGATCAAACCGTCGAGAAGAAGAAGATGCCTTTGGAGAATGAAAGCCAGCAGGTGAGAGACAGTCCACCTCAGCCCTGTTCTCACACAAAATTTTTCCCAACAGAGGACATAGGTTGAAGGAAGCAGCGGTCTTGAAAGCTGCATAGACATAATAAACTGTTTTTCTGGTGGTCTTCTTTCATTGGCTCTTTGAGTTGGCTTTGATCTGTTGTTATTGATGTTCAGATCACCAAAAATGGTAGAGTCAAATCATTCATTCCCCAGATTTGGATTCAGTATTGACTGTACAGTGTGAATGTCACATTCAGTGTCACCGAATACTCAGGGCTGTGTTCCATCATCACACAAGCTTCTCCTATTGGGTGTCTGGTTTTCCTGTCTCTTCCACGATTCAGGGATGATTCCTTCCTCCTTCTCTTGGGAAGAAGAGGTGGTTCTTTGTGTCACTCCCTGATCCCTGCTTTCAGGCTGGCTGGCTTTATAAAGACTATGCTGTTTTGAATTTTCAGGAGCACTGTCTCTCGGACATGGTTGCCCAGCTCCGGACGCTGAAGGGTGCAATAAGGTTGGCCGTCCTTTCAGGGACACTCCTTTCCTGACAGCCACCATAGCACCCATGTATCTTCCCCACCCAACCTTGCCTTTCTGCATGATTTCCCTCTTGAACCTCATTCCCAGAAAGATCTGCTAGTCGCATGTTAGATTCACCTTCCACCCATTCAATCAGGGTAGGTCAGACTGGTGAGGAGAGAGGCAACTTAATCTTAATTCTTTTTCTAACATTCTGCCAAGATGCAGGCAAATGAACAATCAGGTTTCACACCCTAAAGTCTTTTTTTCTCCTAATGTCGGCTTTGGCTTAAGAGCCTGATGTAGAGTTTGGGAGATTTCCTAGGACTGCCCTGTCCTCATTCAGTTTACCTACTCCTTGTATTTCTCCACCTTAATCATTCCTACTATTTTCATAAGCTGGCTCTCCCACAAGATCCCAGATGCATGTCTCTGTGTGTGTGCACTTATGAGTATATGTTAGTCTCTCGCATGCATTTCTCCAAAACCAGCACAGACACTTGCTGCAATGCTTTTTTCCTTCCACCCTCATCACAGATCTCAGAAGAAAGCCCAGCCTTAAACTGGGTCACAAGAGAGGATCAGACGTGATTGGGGGCCTGGGTTTATGTTGTGGGTGGAATAGCTGTAGGAGCCAATAAGTGAGTTGGGGAGGTCTGTTGGTGTCCAGCTGATAAGGTTGATAACTGAATGCGCCTGGGTTCAGTGTTCTAGCGTACATTACTGTGAGCTATTTGTTTTGTGTAGGAAAAAGTTTTTCTTTTTTTTTTTTTATTTTTTGCCCAAACATTCTTTCCTAGCATCAGAAGGATTGACTCATCCTTTGATATTTGGTTTTTGAATTTGGGATTTTTATGAATCATTTCTTTCTTTGATAGGTATTCACCGATCCACCGAAGATCCCTCCTATTCAAGATATGACTGGCTTGAATGACAAGACAACTGGATGTGAAATAATTGACAGCCCTAGCCTACTTCCATCTGTTGGCGAAGAAAGCAGATCACCTTCTCTTCAACTCAAGTCTCTGGATTCCAGTGCTTTTCAGTTTTCCAGGTGACCAAATAACATATTTTATTGTCAGTAGCAAGCCTTGGAGTCTGTTTTCCTTTAGAGTAAATTGGTGTGTTTTATCATGTTGATATGTTTTCTGAGGCCTAGCATGCAATCCAGAAGGAAAAACATAGTTTTGAGTTGATAGAATTGTTTTTGCATGTACTTCCAGTTTCTCAATGCAACAGTAGCTATTTCAAGTCTCTATCCTTTTTGAGATGATCACTTCCTGACGCTCTTTTATGTATTACATATTCACTTTATGTTAGCAATAACAGAAGTGAAATAATGCACATGATAATTGTTTGAGAAACATAAAGTGCTATACAATAGGGTACTGATACACACATAAGTATTATTCCTTCCCTTCAGTTTATGGATATCCAACTCCTCAGAGACCTCATTGGTCTAGCATATATTGATCATATATAAAAATAATGATTAGCTGGGGCCAGTGCCATGGCTCACTTGGTTAATCTTCCGCCTGCAGCGCCGGTATCCCATATGGACACCGGGTTCTAGTCCTGGTTGCTTCTCTTCCAGTCTAGCTCTCTGCTGTGGCCCGGGGAGGGCAGTGGAGGATGGGTCAAGTGCTTGGGCCCCTGTGCCCGCATGGGAGACCAGGAAGAAACTCCTGGCTCCTGGCTTCAGATCGGCGCAGCGCCAGCTGTGGCAGCCATTTGGGGAGTTAACCAACGGAAGGAAGACCTTTCTCTCTGTCTTTCTCTATCACTGTCTGTAACTCTACCTGACAAGTAAATAAAAAATAAATAAATAAATAAATAAAAATAATGATTAGAAATTTTGGCCATTAGATAATTTTTATCATTCCTTGTTTCCTAGAGTAAATGACTTATATAAGTTTAGTCTTGGATTTGTTCATTTTCTAGCACCTCTTTAATGTTATAAGGTACTTAAAAAGCTCATGGAAAATCAGATTAAAAGATAAACTTATTTTTATGTAAATTTAAAAAATACCTATGTATATAAAAGGCCTTCACAAAGTTCATGGAAAAACATATTATGAAAAAAACTAAGTGGGGTTCATGAACAGAGATGAGACACCAAGACTTTTAACAGGAAGTAGTCTTTTTATTGTTGCTGTTGTTGTTATTATTATTATTATCATGCTGGCATAAGGCTCAGTTTGATTCATATCCAAAAAGACAGCCCCAAATGAAAAGGGGCATTTCCTTTTATATATTTTTTAGTTTCTTTGTCTCCCATATATGGTTATACACATATATTTGAATGTTTTAATGTTACATGGCAGCTATGGGAATTGATACAAAACTACATGTGTACATAGTTATTGATAATGTTTAACTAGTTTCTATTAATATACCTAATATTTCTTCTACCACATACTGAGCTATATGCTGTCTGACACAGGCTAATACTATCACCCTGTGCTAACAAACAGAAAATTAAAACAGTTACAAATAAATTAATAATAACTACATTTCATTTCTAGAATAAGTTTTGTTTTAAATTTTTATTTCAAAAAGGCCACTACTACAAATAAACTTTTTTTTTTGGCCAGGCAGAGTTAGACAGTGAGAGAGAGAGAGAGAGACAGAGAGTTATAGACAGTGAGAGAGAGACAGAGAGAAAGGTCTTCCTTCCATTGGTTCATTCCCCTAATGGCTGCTATGCTGGCCAAAGGCAGGAACTGGGTATTCCTCCCGGTCTCCCATGTGGGTGCAGGGACCCAAGAACTTGGGCCACCCTCCACTGCCCTCCCGGGCCACAGCATAGAGCTGGAGTGGAAGAAGAGCAACTGGGACTAGTACCCAGCGCCCCAACCGGGACTAGAACCCGGGGTGTCGGCACCGCAGGCGGAGGATTAGCCAAGTGATCCACGGTGCTGGCCATAAACTTCTCTTTTAATTCCATTTTCCACTAAATTTTTAAGTACTCTCAGATTTTGTCACAATTTGTAACTGGTAGGAGTATACTACTTCTTTTTCTTAAATATCAGGAAAATTGTAAGCACTGACAGATAAGACTATCTGTATACCCCTAGTTATGGCTCCTTGCTTTCTTCTCTCTACTGTGCTGCTCACTTTGGCAGGACCAAAATATAGGGCAGGCACATAGTTTCTCTGTAGTAGTAGAAATTTCTACAGACATCAGTAATGTGACTATTATATAAGTGGGATGTGAATTTTTCAGTGACCTTTTCAGTTTTGGTATCATCTTAATATTGTAGGAAAGAGGCAATGGAACACATAAGAGGGTAAAGTGACCCCTGCTTTGTTTTTCCCCCAAAGTTATTGATTCCCTGCTTATGCTTCTTGGATGGGTCTTTTCAGTCTCTAATAAATAAATAGGTAAGTCCCCCTAATCAGTGATTCTACAATTAAGCTCTATAGATGCTGGAAGAACCTCATGACCTCCTGAACATGAACAGAAATTCTCAAGAGGAAATAAGTTTTAAGGAAGAAAACTCTTTTTAATGATTTATTTGTTTTTTACTTATTTGAAAGAGCAACAGAGAGAGAGGGAGGGAGGAGGAGAGGGAAGGAGAGAGAGACAGACAGACAGACAGAGACAGAGAGAGAAATGTCTTTCATCTGTTGGTTCATGCCCCCAATTGGCCATAATAGCCAGGTTTGGACCAAGCCAAAGCCAGGAGCCAGGAATTCCATCTAGGTCTCCAATATGGGTGGCAGGGGCACAAGTACTTGGGCCATCTTCCCCCTGCTTTTTCAGGTACATTAACAGCAAGCTGGATTGGAAGTGGAGCATCTGGGACACCAATATGGGATGCCAGTGTCACAAGTGGTGGCTTAACCTGCTGTACCACAAAGCCAGCCCTGGAACAAAACACTTAGTAGTGTTAAATAAGAGTCTGTATGGAAGCATCTAGAACAGTCCCTCAGAATATAATAGGTACTCAATAAGCAATGGTTGAATTTGAGTCATACTGAAGGATTAATTTCTTTTTTATAGATTTTATTTATTTATTTGAGAGGTAGAGTTACAGTCAGAGAGAGAGAGAGAGAGAGAGAGAGAGAGAAAGGTCTTCCATTCGTTGGTTCACTCCCCAAATGGCTGGAAAGGCCAGAGCTGCACCAGTCCGAAGCCAGGAGCCAGGATCCAGGAGCTTGTTCCCAGTCTCCAATGCAGGTGCAGGGGCCCAAGGACTTGGTCCGTCTTCTACTGCTTTCCCAGGCCATAGCAGGGAGATGGATTGGAAGAGGAGCAGCCAGGACTAGAACTGGCGCCCATATGGGATTTCGGCACCACAAGCAGTAGATTAACCTACTGTTTCAAGGCGCCAGCCCCGAAGGATCAACTTCTAAGATTCAATTAATTCATAGGGGGATGAGTAGTATAGGCCAGCCTTCCTCTCAGGAGCCTGAGCCTCATTCTGTCCTGTTCCTATGCATATGATTCTAACTACCATTGCAAGTTGGAAAGGGGACACAGTAAGGGCTATGTGTTTGTGGAGCATACTGTTAGCCTCCTTATCTTGGTCTCCTGGAGATGCTCACATATCATTCCAGATTGCTGCTGGAATGTCAGGTGTCATTACTTTTGAATCTTTTCCCAAGTATGATCACTTTTCCTTTTTCCCCAGTATTTCTTTTGTATGAGTAGTGACAAATTCTTTCAATTTCTGTTTGTTATGGAAGGTCTTTATTTGACCTTTGTTCATAAATGAGAGCTTTGAGGGTACAGTATTCTGGGTTGATAGTTTTTTTTCTTGTAAGACTTGGAACATATCTTGCCATTCTCTCCTAGCCTGTAGGGTTTCTGATGAGAAGTCCACTGTGGGTTTAACTGGAGAATCTCTGAAAGGAATCTGGCTTTTCTCTTGTGCACATTTTAGAATCTTCTCTTTATGTTTTACTGTGAAGAGTTTGACTACAATATGTCGGGGTGAAGATCTTTTCTGGTCATGTCTATTACGAGTTCTATGTGCTTCCTGTACTTGGACGTCTCTTTCTCCACATTAGGGAAGTTTTCTGTGATTATTTCACTAAAAAGGCCTTCTAATCCATTCCCTGTTTCCATGCCTTCAGGAACTCCTAAGACCTGCATGTTGGGTTGTTTGTATAGATTCCCATAAGTCTCTGACACTATTTTTTCAGATTTCTTCTTCTTCTTTTTTTGTTCTGACTGTAAAATTTCCAGAGATTTGTCTTTTAACTCGGGTATTCTTTCTTCTGTCTCACTGAGTCTGTTCTTGAGGCTTTCCACTGCATTTTTAATGTATTCTATTGAATTCTTCATTTCCAATATTTCATTTTGATTTCTCTTTAAAATCTCTATTTCATGGGAAAAATTTTCATTCATGTCATGTATGAGTTTCTTTAATTTATGGATTTGCTTTTTCCTTAATGTGTTGTATTATGAGAATTAGCAGTAAAACTTGTCTTCAAACAGTACTTTATACTTTGTGCTTCTGATTGCTTCTAAGTAATCCTATGATCAATTTTTTGAATTAAATTTCCAGCATTTCTTCAATCTCTTCATCTTCACATTCTAGTATTGAAGTGTTGTTGTGTACCTTTGGGGCTTCATGTAGTCTTCATGCTCTTGTTTATTGAATTTCTGCATTTATTTTAGGCATTTGTGGAGATACTTTTTTTTTCTCTGTGATGGCTTTTATCTCTGGATTATGGCTTAGTGGAGTGTCTGCTCTTTGATTGAATACCTGAGGCATGTGCTGAGTGTGGCTGGGGAGCTCTGTTCAATGCTCCAGGGTGAGGGAGTGTCCAAGGTAGCATCCAAGTTGGGTGTGGTAAATCTTTTTTTTTATCAGAAGATAGAGTTTGATCAGCTCTGTTGGCTTAGTCTCATGATCACCTCCTCTTCTCCAAGGAGCCCAGTGCCTGGGTGCTAGCTCCATTGGGTGCAGTATTCATCTGTGCTGCCATAAGAACCACACAAAGGACCCATGCAGTCCTCAGTGTGAGCACGGATCCTGCAGCAATGACCCTTACTAGGCAATCAGGGAGCCCTGAGCATGTGGAGCCACTCAGAGTGGCTAC